AGTTCTATAGCACTGGTACATTGTCAAAATAGCAAGAATACCGAATAAGAATACCTACCACGCAGTTTGCGGAGGGCTGTACCTACATGTAACTCTGGAACGAATCGCTCGAGCATCGATAACCATAAAACATACGACAAACGTCAACTTTGCAAACTATCATCGTATTTCCAATAACGGCACTGCTTATTTCGCCTTACCCCCGCCCCCCCCCCCCCCCGGTAACAGGTTTTGAAATTGGTTGAACCCCAAAACAGTGGCTGGATTCGCCCTTGGGCAGGGAAGTAGCGAAAATTCTGCCCACCCAGTGAAAAATCCTTAGAGGAGGCCCTGTTGTAGCCCTCTAACTCGACACCTTTTATATCTATTCTTAAACATTTTCTGTATCTATAAAGCTGTAGGCCTGACAGCTCTTCCCACGAAACCTTTTTTGGGTCGAAAATGGCAGAAATTACGTCACTCCGACGTCATTAGCGGCCAACCTGTCATAGCCTTTGGAAATTGTTTGGTCACAGTGTGTAATAGCTAGGATCCCGGGAGGGTACTGAAAGTTTGGTGGCAATCGGCGCAGCGGAATTCTGGAGATATATCGAAAAAAAACTAAGGGGGACAAAAAATGCCCCCCCCCCACCACCACCACCACCCGGAAGGTTAAAATGTTTGTCATTCACATATATACGCGAGTTATTGCATTAACAAGCCTCACGAAGTATAGTCAACATACTGCCCGAGTAAACATCTAGCCCGTGAGAAGAAAGGTGGGTGGTATGCATACTACCCGGGAGGTATACATACCTACTGCCCGGGCGGTATGCATACTGCCCAAGGGGTCGGGTAGTATGCATACTACCCGGGCGGTATGCATACTGCCCGGGCTGTTGGGAAGTATGCATACTGCCCGGGCAGTTTGCATACTGCCCAAGCTAGCATATGACCCGTAACATATATATATATATATATATATATATATATATATATATATATATATATATATATATATATATATATATATATATATATATATATATATATATATATATATATATATATATATATATATATATATATATATATATATATATATATATATATATATATATATATATATATATATATATATATATATTTGTCAGTTGTTCAAATGAAAACAGATTTACCGATAGGTGCACTGCCATGACGAAAATTGGTGTAATTTTTTAGGTTTACCTGCAAGAAAAAGAAAAGTTTGTTGATATGGGAACATACGCCATTTTAGTTATAGTGGCCCTGACCACAACTGAAAAAATGAAAACAGATGGTCAACTGTTACTACGTACCATGGAAAAATCGGAAAATTGATCGTGAAAATCAGGCTTCGTAGTTCGTACTCATGTTAGCTCTGGCGGATCCAGAAAGGCGGTCTCGGATGTGGCGTGGGGCATACCCCAAACGTTTCTGCGAATTCCAAAACTCCTCAGATTTTGATTCCTTACGACCTGCTATGCTGTTTAGCTTTAAAACAAATGTTTCCTGATAAAGATGTTCAGGTTTCATTTTCTCCTCGAAAAACTGTACAATGTACCTACATTTTAGTTCATTTCGGGCGCCGCAAGGAGACGGGGGGCATTGGCCCCAAATTCCCACCCTGGAACCGCCAGTCAACAATCTTTATCAATATTACATATTTACGCGTTTTAGAAACTTTAAAGGTTTAGGCTGAGGGCATAACATTTCTTAAATGCACGAATATTGATTAATGATTGCGTAATTTAAATTATAGTTATTTGCATAACTGCAGAGCTACACGATGGATTTGTGATTTTCATCGAATGAAATATTCCCTTACCATTCTATCACCTTATTACCCTGCCCCTAGCAAGCCTTAGGTTATCGACACTTTGAAAACTAGAATCATAAACCTCTGTGTCAACCTCCATATTATATATTGGTGCGTAAAGGTCTAGGCCAGAATAAACAGCAAATAACTTCATATGAAGCAATAATTACGGAGCGAGCGAAGCGAGCGGAGTCTCATACTGAACCAGTATAACGCCTTTTGGGGCGACTAACGGAGCGAGCGAGAGGGTGGGCCTTGCGAGGTGCACGTGCGAAATTTCGAGGGGGTACCTCCAGCTGACTTGTGCACGGCACCCTACTAACCGGTCTCTAGCGATGTGCCAAATTTGAGCACAATCGGCCCAGCCGTTCTCCAGATCTGGAAGCGGCACCCTGCACGTGCGCACGTGCAAAATGGGTCCCAACTGACTTGTGCACGGCACCCTACTAACTGGTCCCTAATCGTGTACCAAATTTGAGCGCCATCGGTCCAGCCGTTCTCGAGATCTGGAAACGACCCCCGCACGTGCGCACGTGCAGCAGCACCCCAACTCTGGCACATGGATATGCAGTGCCTAGTGGGTGCCTACCTACATGCCAACTTTCAGCGCAATCGGCCAAGTAGTTACCGAGATATTGCAACAATTACAAAACTGACACCTCTTCGTTTTGCACGTGGCACGTGCATAAGGGGTCACCCACATGCATCGGGAATAGTCCAATACTTGGTAGAAGGAATGAAGCTACCCTACAAAAATTACCGCGTGTAAATCGGTCAAGTGGTTGCTGAGATATAAGCCTCGCAAAAGCGTCCGCACGGCCGGCCGGCCGGCCGCTCATACTCAGAAATTTCCGTTAATCTAAGGAAAGACTACGCTCGCTTCGCTCGCTCCGTAATTAACCCGCGCCCTGATGGGGGGGGCCATTTAGGCCCCCCCCCCCTGTGGGTTTTCTTAAATAGCGAGAAAACGGCGGCGCGCAGCGCCGCCAAATTTTGGGTACCTTACCGGACATCAATTTGACACCTTCACACAAAATTTCAAGTCACAGGTCACCTCAGGTCAGGAGTTATTGAGGTCAAACTGAGGTCATGTTCGAGTAAAAATGAGCAAAAAACATGACATCTTGAAACGCTCAACAATTCTACAGTTCACAAGCAATTTTAAAGTTCTTTATGTGGTTGTGTAGAGAAAAAACGGCGCTAAAAAACTGCTATCTCGGATTTTTGAAATTTTTGGATTTTGACCCCAAAAAATCAAAAAAATTGATTTTTTTAGAAAAACTCAAAAAATTTCCAAAATTTTTTCGAATTTCGAAAAAACCGGAATATATGTGATAGTCCCTGCGCTCTTCGATATACATACCCAATTTTAGATCGATACCTCTTTTTTTTGGCCAAGTTATAGCGAAAAAACTGTTAAAAATTGATGACGTCAAATTTTTGAACTCAATTTTTAGCAATTCTAGACCTCGTAGCGCAAAACGGAGACCACCATTGAACTCCCCGTGACGAGCTGCATCGAATCGATACCCATTTTATGCAAAAATACCAACTTTGAAATTTGACCTAATTTGACCTGACCTTGACCTGACCTTGACCTGACCTTGACCAAAACGTGACCTAAGCTGGCCCTAAAGTCTGTCTGACCCACATAATCGCATTTGTCATGTAAAATGGACCATAAAACATGTATCACACGACACTTTCATATTGTGACCCCCCAGTGACCTGACCTCTGTGACCTGACCTGGTATCAGTGACCTCAAATAGCAAAATATGTGTTTGAAGAACATTTCCCCATCGATGATTTTCAATGAAATGCATTTTACACGATTTTACAACGCATTTCTTGAAATGCCTGTAAACGGTGAAAATTCGACCTTTGACCTGACCTGTGACGTCATCGGTTTGACCGAGATCAATGAAATTGGGTCACAAGGTAGTTCCCTGTTGGGGCTATCCAACACCGTTTACCGCTTGTCGCTATGTTGCGTGGTTCTCGAGATCTGAGGGGGGGCCAAAATGGCCCCCCCCCCATCAGACCGCGTTGCTCGGCAGACCCCATCTGGGCGCGGGTTAAGGGAAAATCCTGAGTATGAGCGGCCGGCCGGCCGGCCGGCCGTGGGGACGCTCTTCAAAAGCTAATATCTTAGGAACGGGACATCCGATTGACAAGCGGTCTTCTTTACTGAATGTCACTTGGACGTAAAAGTTCTGTGGTGTGATGGCCACCATGCGTTCTTGCCAACCACCGCACGTGGCGCGTGGTAAAGTTGACATTTTTTAAGAACCCCCAAAATTGCAACCTCAAAAACGGCACAACGGTTGGGCCGATTGAATTGAAACTCGGTACACAGTTAGGTCTCCATCAGATAATTCATCTGCATGTGTTAAAGTTGGGGTGCTACAGCACGTGCGCACGTGCAGGGGGCGCTCCCAGATCTCGAGAACGGCTGGGCCGATTGCGCTCAAATTTGGTACACGGTTGGGGACCAGTTAGTAGGGTGCCGTGCAAAAGTCAGTTTGGACCCCGCTTGCACGTGCGCACGTGCAGTGTGCCGCTTCCAGATCTCGAGAACGGCTAGGCCGATTGCGCTGAAATTTGGCACATCGCTAAAGACCGGTTAGTAGGGTGCAGTGCACAAGTTAGTTGGAGGTACCCCCTCGCAATTTCGCACGTGCAAGGCCCATCCTCTCGCTCGCTCCGTTGGTCGCCCAAAAGGCGTTTTACTGGTTGGATAAGAAGCGAAATCAAAACAAATTAATGATGTGCACATCCAGGCTCTGATTGGCGGAGATTCAATTTCATCACTCGGCGCAGAGCGTTGATTGGTCGGGGACTGACGTCATATGCACCCAATGACCTCCCGTAGCAGCAGTGTCATAATGCAGCCAACGGGCCTCTGTGGGGAATGTTTTAAAGATTGGCTGTAAACATCGGCTGACAGAAGGTCATCGCTGATCAGCAGCCGTTCGTCGCTGACCAAGCGATCTCACTATTCAATAAGCCCAAAGAAAGCCGGACGAGGTGGTATTTATAATGGTTATGTAATGGATATTATACATTCTAACTGTTTTGATTACGCTAAATCAGCAAATCAATTATGGCCTTTACCACCGCACTCAATACGGTCTAATTGCACTATTCGAGCATCTTCTTACTCAAATAATAGAAACAAACATATCTCTCTTGAGTTCCATGTTGCCGTTTCTGGAATACATGACATCACGTCATACAACTTGGAGACATAGGTTTAAGGACAACAACACTATGCATTTACCTAAATCATCTCATACAAGATCTAACGTTACAGATATAACCAAGATCGTCACTCTCACTACTAACGAAAGTCGTGTCTATTACCACAACAAAATGCGTACTTACATGAGTCTGCGGGGTTCAAAATATGTTAACACTTAACACAAAATATCACCTAACTATACTCCATATTCAATTTAGCGCAATAAACTTGCAATAAACTCCAGCTGAGACGGAAACAAAATACTGAATTCGAAATTATAAAATCGCGTGACAATTTTCTCGCGTATACACACTGCGGCGAACCCTCTTGCTGGGCGGCGCCAACACCCACCTCCTTGAAACCACGAGGGGTCGAAAACGAGAGGTTTCAATTTAACTTCACCAGTTTTGTCACTGGGCGCTGCATTACTGTCCCTCTTGTTCGGACAGTCGCAGATCGAACCAATCCATCGGAACTAGTTCGAACAGCTTCAATCAAACCGAGTGGCCACTGGCCTCTGGGAACACTATCATCAACAAGCAGAACTGTGTCTCCTGGTTGAAAGTTCTTTCTTGTTTCTGTCATAACGTGCCTTTCTTGTAGAGTCGGTAAGTATTCGGATCTCCACCGTGTCCAAAAAACATTTGCGAAATGACGAGCTTGCTTCCATTTTTTTTCTATTTCCATGGTCCGCCTGGGAGAAGACTCCGAATGGTAACGTTACACCATGTCCTCCCAGAAGAAGAATGTCATTTGGCGAGAGAGGTGGATCGTCCCTGACGTCGCTAGATACTGGCGTAAGCGGTCTACTGTTCAGTATGTTTTCAACTTCACAAAATATGGTTCGGAGTGTCTCTTCCTTGAGCGATTGCGATGTTAAAAGGGATTCGAGTATTCTTCGTATGGATCGTATCTGACGTTCCCACACCCCACCATGATGGGAGGCGCCTGCCACGTCGAATTTCCATGTAATTCCTCGCTTGAGCATTGCTCTTTGTAACACATGCTCATTTTCTGATAACCTTGTCATCTCTAAGCGCAGTTCCCTGTTGGCTCCAGTAAAATTTGTTCCGTTGTCAGACCTTAGTATTTGAACATTACCTCTACGTGCAACGAATCTGCGCAGGGCGCAAATGAATGAGTCTGACGTCAGATTTTCAGCAACCTCCAGATGTACGGCCCTGATAGCAAGACAGGTGAATATGACCCCATATCTCTTGACCTGTGAACGACCTTGAGTGACATAAAATGGTCCAAAGTAATCCACACCTGTTCGCGTAAACGGTGGCTCTTGAGCTTGCACTCTGTCAGACGGAAGATTGGCCATTTGTTGTGATTCAGGTGGTCGGTAGAGTTTAGTGCAACTCAAACAACTGTTTAGAACACGTCTTACACTTGAAATTCCCTTCAGAATCCAAAAACGTTTTCGAAGTTTCGCTAGCGTGAACTGTCTCCCACTGTGCCCTACGGCTTCATGGGCGTCCGTAATGAGTAGTTCTGTAAAATGACCACGACTCGGAATAACGATAGGATGTTTTGTTTCTTCTAAAATCGAAGCCTCTGCTAATCTTCCACCTACCCTAATGATACCGTCTTGCATGAAAGGGTGAAGCTTCACTAATCGACTGGTTCTTGGTACCTCAGCGCCAACTGACAGGTTTTCATACTCCCTTGGAAATTCATGTTCTTGTATATGTCGAATTATTTTCTTTTCTGCTTCACGTTGCTCCTCATAGCACAAAGGGGGAGACATTTTTATAAACCCCTTCTGTCCTTCCTTAAGTGATCTTGTAAATCGTGACAGCCACGACAATCCTCTGAGCAGGGATTCTTTCTGACTATAATGTAAAATGAGCCGCTCCATCGGAGTTTCAGAATCTGGTACAATCGCAGTTTTAGCGCATATCGCCGTTTTTCGCACTTCGGGGTCGTCCTCCGTCACCTCCCTGAAGGCGATCGGTGCTGAGGGCCAAAAGCCTTTGTCCTTCCAAAGGAATTCAGGTCCATTCAGCCATCTCTTACTTTGGACACCCCTAGACACGTCGTCAGCTGGATTGTCTGAACTATTGACATACCTCCATTGTTCTGGCCTTGACCCATCGTGGATTATTGCCAATCTATTTGCTACAAAGGTGTGAAAACGCTTCGCTTTGTTCTGAATGTACCTTAAAACGGTGGTGCTGTCAGTCCAAAATATATGCTCGACATCATCGAATTCAATGGTATCACCTATCAGGGAGCATATTTTTACCGCCGTCGTTGCCGCCATGAGCTCCAGACGAGGTATTGTAGCTCCTTTGAGAGGCGCTAAATGCATCTTGCCCTTGAGAAAAGAACAACAGATTTGTCCTTTGGCATTCGTAAGCCGGATGTAAGAAACCGTTCCGTATGCTACTTCACTGGCGTCAGCAAAATGATGAAGTTGACAAGATACTACGTCTCCAAAGTTATCAGGTTTTACACAACGATTCACTGACAATTCATTCACTTCATTTAGAGCTGATAGCCAAGCCGTCCACTCTTGCTGCTTGACAAGCGGAATACTATCATCCCATCCATTATGTAGCCTGCTCAATTCTTGCAAGATGAGGCGTCCCTTCAGCATGGATGGGCATGACATGCCAATTGGATCATACAAGGAGCTTACAGCTGACAGTAATCCTCGTCTTGTCATCGGCCGGGCAACTAGCTTGTCGTGATCCAATGCCATCTTTAACACATCTTGTTCAGTGTCCCAGATTACACCCAATACTCGCTCAGTGGGAAGGTGACTACTATCGCTGGTCCAGTACGCCAATTGCTTAGACCGCGATTCGCTAGGAATGGATGCAATCAGAGCGGAACTATTGCTCGAAATCTTCTTTAAAGTAAATCCCCCTCGTTTGCACAAAACCATCAGGTCTCGAAGCAGCAGTATAGCGCTTCCTTCGTCAGGCATTGCCTTCAGCAAGTCGTCGACGTAAAAATTCTTCTCAATAGTAGCACAGCTTTCATTCGAGAAACACCCTCGGTTGTCTAAAGCTGTCTTGCGTAATGCAAAGCATGCTATACTGGGTGAAGAAGTGGCTCCAAAAACATGAACTTTCATGCGGTATTCCAATATATCATTTTGAGGATCGCCATCTTTCCACCACAGGAATCTGAATAAATCGCGGTCAGACTCTGGAACATAAACTTGATGGAACATATTTTCAATATCGGCTGTGAAAGCTATGTTCTCCATACGGAATCTGGTCAACACGTCTAAAAGTGCATTCGTTTGGTCTGGTCCCTGCAAAAGATTGTCATTTAAAGAGATTCCTTTAAAGGTTGCGGCGCCATCAAATACAATGCGAACCTTGTCCGGTTTTTGGGGATGCTGAACGGCGTGATGTGGAAGATACCATACCTTACCATCATTTCTGGATAAATCGGCATTTGGTACGGGCTCTGCGAAACCATTTTGCAACATGTTTTTCATATATAGCTTGTAATCGGACGCCAATTTATCACTCCGCCTAAGCTTATTTCTCAAGCTCAGTAGCCTGCTTGCCGCCATATTCCTGTTATTTGGCAGAATCAGCCCTTCATCTACAACCGGTAGTCCCACCTCATAATGATCTTTAATCAGTCTAGTTGACGCGTGAACGAATTTCTCCCATTTCTTGTCCTCAACAGATGGTCCCATTTTATTTGAATGTAGATTTTCTTCATGTTCCTTGTTGTATAGCTGTTGTACAAGCCCTTCAAGGTGTTGCAACTCAGGATGTACCAGTGTTTTGTAACATTTCGCTGGAAATGGTGATGATACCCCACGGAGACCGCTCACAACCCATCCGTATCTTGTTCGCACGGCAAAAGGACCACCCTCTCCGTTGCTTGTCACCACTTCTAATGGTTCCATGGCTAAAAAGGCGTTGGAGCCCAATAAAAGTTCAACTTCTTCATTTTGGCACAGATCTAGTTTGACCCCTTCCAGATGTTTCCATTTACTTATTTCAGTTTGAGTAGGAAAATCAGCAAAGTCCACTGGAATTTTTTCGAGAGAAAACAACTGAGGCAGCTCTAAAATGTTCCCACCATTCTCGTCCGACAACCAAGCTCCGTTGACTATTCGTGTCGTGATGCTAACTTCTCTGTCAACTGTTGTCAGCGATAGTCTGGTCTGTGGCAGGCTCTGTAGTTTCAAAGTTTTAAGCAATCCTTCTGAAATAAATGAATGAGTTGATCCGCTGTCCAGAAAAGCAAGTGTACATTTCCTTTCAAGACCGTGATGTAGGACAACAGGGACGATCGGGAGAGCCGGTCTAAATGAGACGGATGCACCACCTTTCGTGGTGCAAGATGTTACATTTGGGACACCATTTTCTGATCTTTCACTGTTGCCTCCTGATCTATTGATATGGAGAGATGTAGGATGTCGGGAAGCACAAATGGAACAGCTAGCTCGTCGTCTACAGTCAGTACTGCGATGGCCTTGCTTCAAGCAGCCGTAACACAGCGCTGAATCCCTAATAATGGCAATTTTGTCCTGGTGTGGCAACTTCGCAAAGCAACTACAATCGGTGAGTTCATGCCCCTTATCTTGACAGTGAATACATGGGCTTGCTCCGGCACTAACCATCCGTGTCGCGGCCACCAGCGGTTTTGAACGAAATCTGCCCACAGTGACAGAGTTATTTTGCCTTACAGTTGCATTTGACCCACGATTTCCAAACACAGGATTGGTTGCAACTCTTGCCTCCTGTACAACGAAGTTCACTAGATCATCAAACACCACTGCTCTACCCTCATTTTCATTAATGGAGTCGGCTCGATGTCGCCATCTGTGTTGCGAGTGAACGGGTAACTTGGCGCTTATACTCCTCAGGGTTCTGGGGTCACTCATGGCTGCGCTATTTACACCAAAGGCATTCTTGCACTTCATAAGCTCCAGTGCAAAATGGTCTAACCCTTCAATATCGTCTGGTTTCAACTGCAATAAATTTTCAAATTGATCAACAAATGCCGCTGCCAAAACGCTCTCTGAACCGTACCGTCGTGTGAGAAGGTTCTTAGCTTCTTCGTAGCCGTTATCCAGGTATAAGCAAGCTGTAACGATACTATGTGGCTTGCTTTCTGGAATCATATTCTGCTCTAAATAAAATAATCTTTCTTCGTCGGTGGACAGCTTTGAGGCAATTTTTAGGTTAAATGCCTTCATGAAATGAGGAAATTCAGTAACATCACCTCCAAATTTGGGCAATTCAACAGGCGGCAAGCGCATCAACCCAGCAGTTATTTCCCTTTCTCGTCTCAACAGTCCTGCAATATTGCTGCTCTCAGTATTTAGATGGCCGTCGTGGCTCCTTCGGTTTGTCGTGTTCGTGTCGTTCGTAGCATTCGATATCGATCTCGGGGTCTCTTTGTCGCGATTCGATTCAACTATTTCATGGTCTTCATGTCTACCTAGCGCCCTCACCTTGGCTCTAGAAATTTCTATAGCCTCTGTATATTCAAGAATTTCCTTCTGTCTTGCCAATTCAGACATCTTTCTATCTAACTCCTGTTTTTCTAGCACAATTTTCAGCTGTGCTTCTAAGCCCGCACGAAGCGCGTCTTCTTCTATCAATTTTAACCTTGTCATTTCAGCGGCCGATGCAGATGTTTGGATAGAAATAGTATCGCTTATTTGAGGAGCTTCGCCACTTCCAGTAATTTCGACGGTATTCCTTCGTTGCCCACTCGGTAAGGCGGCACTAGCTTGGGGCATGTTTTCATTTGCGTTAAATATCCCAGCGGCCTTACTTGGGACAAATTCAGCCCAACTCTCAAAATCAATTCCTTCTTCGTCTAGTGCATCACGCAGCGAAGCAACCAGATCAGCCTTATTCCCTGTGGTCCCTCTCCCGCGGGCCTTTAGCTCACATTTCAGTTGATACACGGTGAGTTTGTCCATATTCAATACTTAAGGTTTGAGAATAGTAAAGCTGCGATAGACTTACAGTGGCTGGCTGAAGATTCTGGCTTCAAAACGCAGAATAAATCTTCACGGTAACGTGTTTTAAAATAACTCAGTTTAAAATGTCTTTTCATAAAAGTTAATCGAAGACTCATAAACTTTTGATTACGCTAAATCAGCAAATCAATTATGGCCTTTACCACCGCACTCAATACGGTCTAATTGCACTATTCGAGCATCTTCTTACTCAAATAATAGAAACAAACATATCTCTCTTGAGTTCCATGTTGCCGTTTCTGGAATACATGACATCACGTCATACAACTTGGAGACATAGGTTTAAGGACAACAACACTATGCATTTACCTAAATCATCTCATACAAGATCTAACGTTACAGATATAACCAAGATCGTCACTCTCACTACTAACGAAAGTCGTGTCTATTACCACAACAAAATGCGTACCTACTTACATGAGTCTGCGGGGTTCAAAATATGTTAACACTTAACACAAAATATCACCTAACTATACTCCATATTCAATTTAGCGCAATAAACTTGCAATAAACTCCAGCTGAGACGGAAACAAAATACTGAATTCGAAATTATAAAATCGCGTGACAATTTTCTCGCGTATACACACTGCGGCGAACCCTCTTGCTGGGCGGCGCCAACAAACTGTAAAATATAAATTTATATTCGAGGTCACCTCATCCATAATTTACTTACTTATGTATTTAGCCAAAGATGCCTACAGGGTGTTTCATAAAGAATGTCAATTTTAAATTTGCCATTTTAACCATATAAAACAATATATTTGCATAATTTTTAGATTCACATACACCAGAAGACTTGGACATTTGATTTTTGTCTGATCATTTTTCTCTATCTAGACAAACGGTTCCACCACAGCCCCGTGAAGATCAACGCACTTTCGGTCCCGTCCACGGATATGGCGCACGGCCCGGAGCACTTCTCCGCAGTCCATGGGGGAGTCAACGAAGTCTTGCTCAAGTCTAAAGTGAACTTCAAAGTGAAAGGTTAACTCTTAAGTGAAGCCGAAACTTTCTCATAAATTTGTAGATGTTCTTAAGGCTTCCGCGCTGTACCACTATCCACGCCTTCTGTTCTTTCGAAAATGGCGTATTAATCATTTGAGCACGGCGAGCCGCAAGGTGAACCCGACTTATCCCGTTCTGAAAAAAAGAATGACAACAACTTTGGCATCGAATGCTATTTATATAAAATGTCCATCAATTTCCAACAATGCTTGAAAGTTTGCACGTGCTAGACACATTTTTTCTTTTTGAACTCCCCAGTTTAAAATTGACATTCATTATGAAACACCCTGTAGGAACGATTGTAGATAACGCTATGGGCAGCGTGTCAGGCCTCAAAGATTCTTAACACAGTCGATAGGCGATTCTGAACGTCATGACTCATGAGCTTCATTTTGTTGATCACTATTATAGTTTGTTTATCGGACCATTGTCACTTTGATACTCGAGTGCTTTCTCCTTTCAGAGACATTAAATGCCATTTCGTATGTTGCCAGGTTCTGGAGAAGGTGAACCAGGCACTGGCCTCGCGAGTCAAAGGCCAACTGAGCTCCGAGGCCAAACAGCAGGCGCTCTTCAGCCTCCTCGGAAAGGAATTTGTCCGGCAGCATTTTCCGCACCACAAGTTCAACACGAAAATACTGGTGAGTCTGATACGCCATACCTTGTGAGACAAATAATTCACGCTCTATCACCTGATGGTCACGCTTTGATTAAACAAAGTATCTTTATTACATTTTTTCTACTAAGATTTCTCCCGTATGAATATTTTAGAGGTCACTTACATAACAAGAATGACATATTTAACGACATGGTATATTTATTTAGGCGGGTTACCGTCACTCGTGTGCGTAGGAAGTAGGAACGGCTGGAAAATTGTGAGTTCATGGGTGCAGAAACCCAGCCTTGCCCCGTTGGAGTGGGGGGGGGGGGATAGGAAAAGTCACCGGGATGGGGTATCGTGTTCTTTCTCTTCTTTGGTATGCGCTGCCACCGATATTAGAAAACGGTTTCAGGCGGGAGGCTTACATTTAAGTGGGTCGTCGATAGCTGCCCTATCTTATGTGTTCCGTTTTTCTTCCGCCTGAACACAAAAGTAAGTTTTAAAGACCATCAGAGTAGCAAATGCCTCGAAAGATGGGTAGAGGGCATGCTATCCTGAATTCGTCCTACTGCGTGGGAGTATTGTTGATGAGACAAGCCGGAGTTTTGTTCCAGGTTATTGCGGGTGCAATCTGCAGAATAGATTGCCTGCACCCACTGAAAAACTATTGAGGTGCACTGCACCCACTGCACCCATGATTCCTACGCTTATGACTCCACTGCATCATAAAAAACGTTATTTTCTTTTTCTGCTCCCTACTGTTGTGACTTGTCTCATGCCTTTATCAGTAAAGATGTTGGTTTTAAATGGCACTTCCGTTCTACTCACAACCAATACCAATTTTGCAGCTTGAAATAACAAAAGTTTTGTATAACTATCTAAATTATACCTATAGTATTATCATGGTGTTATCATAATGTACATACGTATCACAATTCACACGATATGAAGTCTTTAAAGTAAATAATGTACCTAATCGTTTTATGGGCCGAGAGTAGATACGCGTGTGTACATATTTAGAAAATATTGAAAATGTTTCATTGTATTCTAAGGTTTGTTTGCATTCAGTTTTCCTTGAAGCTCGCTATAAATTTGTTTAACCCACTCCGTTATGAAGCATACTTTGTCCATTGCTTCAGCGATGAGAGGTGCAGGATGGTAATGCTGTGCTTATTGCATTCCACTCTAATATTTCGTAATGATTCCGTCCACATCCAGACTGTTTCTCGGAAATGTGTCACACGCGGGGCAGTCGCCTGTCAAATGTGCAGCTGAGACCGGCTCGATAGCCGTCAGGATAATATGGAGTCTGTGTCACCGTGCCCGGACCGCAGCACCCGGCCGGGACGTGGCCGTCGCATTTAGAAAGCGTCGTGCACTGACAGGATGGGATAAAACTGGCTTAACTGGATGGGTCGGATATCGCACAGTGTGCGGCCACGCGGCTCGTCTAGAAAGCCCACTTGACCATAAATATCGCGTTGCAATATACCTGCATTTCAGGTAAGGCAGCTTCCTGAGAAGAATATAAAACAGGCAGCCTCAAACTAGACATCTACCGCTACCACCATAGAGTTTTTACTTTAACGCAAATCATGTCACCACGAAAGTCTTAGCAATGACATGATTTGCGTTCGAGCGTTTTCCGTTGTGTTTAAACCAGAGGCAGCATCTTTAAAGGAAAAGGGCCACCTTCGTGAAATATGAAGATATCGTTGTTTTTCATTTTGACATTATTATTTTTCATTTTCTTTTTAAAACTGGTGCCAGAAGTGCACAATTCGCGAAAAAGTATTTAAAACTATTTAACATATTGGTACTATGTTGATACTCTCTACGGCACCTACTGTATGATGGCATAGCGATGACGTCACACTCAAGCCAATCAGCGTTCAGAAGACAGACTCGTCGGATTGTGTCAGATAAGCTGATTGGTTAAAGCTGAGCTGGTTGGAGCTGATTGGTAAAAAACCAAAGCCTCGCCGCGGGTGGCTGTATTGTCGGATAAGAACGCATTCCTCGGATAAGGACGCATTCCTGGCGTATTTTCTTTTAAAATTGCCGATAACTACGAATGGAGGCCGAAATCGGCCGTAAGGAGGTGGACAAATAGGTTTTCGGACACGGGCTACAAGATGGCTATCTCAGTTTCAATCCCCATGTTAAAGGTGGCCCTTTTCCTTTAAGTGAACATCCCACCGCAACATTAGTTTTGAGTTGAGATAACCAAATCGTGGTCCCTGGCTTGCGATTATCGGTTTGGGCACTTAGGATATCGAGAAGTGCTTTACTTCGGAGATATTTAATTTCAAAATCAGCCGTTTTCAGATCCAGTAAGGGGCTAATCCATTTGAATACCCCTTAGACTTTGTAACGTCAGCGTAGGTCTAGCGATTTTCAAATTTTATACTAAAACCTTGGTAAGAGACAATTGTTGCTGTGGTGGTATATGTACAGCCCACCGCTAAAGTAATGTAGGGTTTTACCAATCTCAACGGTTGGCTTAGACTGACGATTGTTTAATGCGGAGTGATCGAAAAGAAGATGTCAATTTAGCTAAAGTTGCAACTGCAAGGGTGACGATACATATAAGCTACATTCAAAGTTTCATTGTAGTCTGGCTAATCGTTCCTAGGCTTCAGAAGCAGAACATACCCATGACTGAAACCCCACATTACTTCTGCTGTGGACTGTACATATACTGCCCTGCGCTCAACATCTGTCGCACTTTTAAGATACCAAATATTGCTTCCAAATGACGTCATATAGGAACAGCGATGCCCCCCCTCCCAAAAGAAAAACAAAACAAAAATAAAGGTCTAATATCTCAAAAAGCGGTGATTATATTTCGGTGAAATTTGGTAGATACCTATTCATTTTACCCTTTCTGAACCACGGTGCATCATAACCATGTGGAACGTGTAATACGACTTTACGTCACTACATGACCTGACTTACGATTCCACGACTGTATTTATTTATCCGGATCCATGTGGTACGGTCAAGTAGGTATGCATAATTTGAGTATGCAGAATGCCACTTGGGCATCTCTCGGCATTCCTAGGCTATCGTGAAGGGTGAAGGAGTTGTTAGGCCGCCAGCGCGCCTGCTGGGTGGTCGTGAACGGCCAGGGCTTACCGCGGGTTACATAAAGACAGGTTGATGCCACTTCCATGATTTCTATCTACGTAGACTTAGGTATAGGCATCTCAAAGACGTTACTTCATGTTTTCAAACTTGATAGAGAAGGACATGCATACATTGCATACACAAATGTCAACTTGAGTCTAATAAGATTTATATTCGTGTATTGTTGCACGGGGCTCAGTGAAGGAGTCGGGCAAGAACAGACAAGATAATTCCCGTGTCTTTTACCCCGTGTGAATTTACGACGAAAAATATTGACGGGCATCGGACATGGGACAGACAACTACATATAAGGGTCACTTGCAGTATGTTGTTCCGTGAGAGGGGGTAGGAACGCGTTGTTACGCAATGCTATTTTAAGAATATTCACAGCTAGCCTGCAATTAAAAGGCAACAGGATTTTCCTACCTACTGATAGTTTATTGTAGCTGGTCAATTTAATGACAACTTCCTGGTATATGAGGCTTGTTTTGACCAGCATATCTATTGATTGATGACCTCACTGATGACCATGCAACGGGCTGTGTCGGCAGCTGAAGTCATCGGTATTCGCAATTCATTCATGATTTTACCGTAGTTTTAGGGCCTTGAATTTCACCTAATAGCCGGGCTAATCTTATCACACAGGCTGCACGGTATTTTCCGCGGCCGCAAAAGGTGGGCGAGGCAATGATGAGTAGTGACACTGTGGAGGCTCGTTTCGAGAAGGTTAGGTATGTTACGGTCAGAAAGGCGTGGCAGGCAGATCGTTTGGATATAAATATAGTTAGTTTTTTTTTTGGTACTTACATAAAAGATCAATCGTGCATTGACTGGTTGTTGTGTGGCAATTTAATCTTATTTATATGCGGAAACTTTTGTATAATGTATGCTTTATATAATTCCAGTTACTTTTCTTTATTAATACTTAAGAATAATTGATAGACATGGAATTGTTTTTAATTTTTTTTTATCATAAAGCAAATGATAAATCCGTAAAGCTTTTACAGACAGGCATCAAACAATCTCAAAATGGTATTTCAACACACAAATTAATTATCAAAGGCTCGTTTGCGGTCAAAAGTAATCAACACACTGTTTGTTAGAACTGTGCTTTTCTATCGCCGCAAACATCATTCATCTTTATATAGCCGTTATCTTTAACTGCCTAGCCCCCCCCCCCTCGTATCTCCGAACTTAACTGGACGGATCCGCAAAATTCAAACGGCATTCGAAAGCCCTGTCATATTTGCTGAAGAAATTCCAATGTCATTGACCTCGGGGTCACCGATGACGTCACAGGTCAGGTCAAAGATAAAATGTTTTGCCGTTCACGGGTCTTTTAGGGAATGCGCCTTAACCCGCGCCCTGATGGGTCTGCCGAGCAACGCGGTCTGATTGGGGGGGCATTTTGCCCCCCCCCCCAAGATCTCGAGAACCACGCAACATAGAGACAAGCGGCAAACGGCGTTGGATAGCCCTAACCCTAACGGGGAACTACCTGGTGACCCAATTTCATTGACCTCCGAGTCTAACCGATGACGTCACAGGTCAGGTCATATGTCGAATTTTCACCGTTTACAGGCATTTCAAGAAATGCGTTGTACAATCGAGTAAAATGCATGTCATTGAAAATCTCCGTAGGGATGGTCCATAAAACACATATTTTGCTATTTGAGGTCACTGATACCAGGACAGGTCACAGAGGTCAGGTCACTGAGGGTCAAAATATGAAAATATCATGTGATGCATGGTTTATGGTCCATTTTACATGACAAATGCGATTATGTGGGTCAGGCAGGCTTTGGGACCAGTTTAGGTTATGTTCTGGTGAAGGTCAGGTCAAGGTCAGGTCGAATAAGGTCAAATTTCAAACTTGATATTTATGCATAAAATGGGTATCAGTTCGATGCAGCTCGTCACGGGGAGTCTAAAGGTGGTCTTTGTTTTGCGCTACGTGGTCTAGAATTGCTAAAAATTGAGTTCAAAAATTTGACGTCATCATTTTTGAACCGTTTTTTTCGCTATAACTTGGCCAAAAAAGGAGGTATCGATCTTAAATTGGGTATGTAGATAGAGGTACGCAGTGAATATCATGTGTATTCCGTTTTTTTTTTCGAAAAAGATGGGAATTTTTCGAGTTTTTCTTCTTTTTTATTTTTGAGGGTCAAAATTCCAAAATTTTCAAAATTTGAGATTGCAGTTTTGTAGCGCCATTTGTTCTCTAAACATCCAAATAAAGAACTTTGAAATTGTAGATTGTGTGAGCATTTCAAGATGTCATGTATTTTACTCATATTTGCTCGAACATGACCTCAGTTTGATCTCAATAACTCCTGACCTAAGGTGACCTGTGACTTGAAATTTTGTGTGATGGTGTCAAATTGATGCCAAGGACGGTATTGAAAATTTGGTGACCCTGCGCGCCGCCGTTTTCCTGCTATTTAAGAAAAACCACGGTGGGCCCGAAATGGCCCCGCCATCAGGGTGCGGGTTAACACCGAGCAAAACGCATTTATCAGCGATAGGGGGTCAGTCGTCTAATAGATATGTTGCAATTAGAGGTCACTGGTCATACCAGGTCAGGTCACAGGTCAGGTCACCAAGGGTCAGCACATGAACCCAGTTTTACTAGGGCTGTGCGATGCATATTTTATGGCCATTTTTCATTTCCAACTCAATAGTGCTGGTTATAAGACCATCAGGAACGGTTTAGGTCACTTTCTGATGGTGGAGGTCAGGTAATAAAAGGTCAAATTTCAAATTTGATATTTTTGCATAAAATGGGTATTGTTTCGATGCAGCTCGTCACGTCGAGTCTAATGGTGGTCTTTGTTTTGCTCTACATACGTCGTCTTAACCCACGCCCCACTGGGGTCTGCGTATAACACGCCCTACTGGGGGGGGGGGGCTATTCATAGCCCCCCTCCTAACTCCGAAACTACTGGGCCGATCGTCAAAATTCAAACGGCGTCTGATAGCCTCGGAAAAACTGTCGAACGAAACCTAATTTCATTGACCTCGAGGTCACCGATGACGTCACAGGTCAGGTCAAATTAAAGATTATTAGCATTTTGGCTTGTTCACGTTTTGGGCTCTGGCCGCCGTCTTACAAGTCAGATCAGGCTCATTTTGGGTTTACACACTCGTGAACAGATGCTCTAGATACCCTGAGGGTACCAAACTTGTACTTGAATTTTCAGGTCAAGGTCAGGTCATCACAAGTCACGAAAATATTATATCATGCGTCGGTCATGTGACACATGTTTTATGGTCCATTTAGGCCAAATATTTCGAATTTGATGTCGTCTGTGTCATTCGAGGTCATTTGGAGCCGAATTTAGCTTAGGTCAGGTCACTTTCAGGTCAAAAAAGGTCAAATTTTGAAGTTATAATTTTTCAACAAAAAAGGTGTCTATTGGATGCAGTTTGAGCTCAGGAACACGATGGTGCTATTTATATTGGCGTACGATGTCAAATACGTGGTGAAAATTGATTTGAAAAATTAATAGTTGTGAATTTTTTTTTGCAATAATGCGTATAACTTGGCCATTTTTGAAGATATTTAGCTAAAACTTGCTAGAGTTAGTCATAATAACGCGTTCTATCACATATATTCCGTTTTTTTTTTTTCGAAAAGTCAAAAAAAAGAAAAAATTTAAAATGTAAATTTTGAATTTTATTATAGGGGAGAGCGGGGAGAGTTGTATCATGTCCAAGTTGTAGGTATCAGGGCGAATTGTGCTAAACTTATCCAATAGATGGCGCTCGTGACACGACCAACCGACGAAATTTTCCGGGCGCCATCTTTCCCTGTTCTGTCGTGTGGCTGGGTGGACGCGTCTCGAGGTGAGAGCCGATTTTATGTTTTTTTAATGTCATTCTAAAAAAATAAGTTGCAAGAAAATGTGTGTTTTGGGCATTTAGATGTGCACGAATTTGAAAGATCTCAGTAGCGGTGGTGAGGGTAGGTTCTAAGGCTGCGTGAGTGGAAATGGATTTCTCCAGCTGTCCCCTGTTTAGCGGGTACAAATCCATTATAGGCGACCTTTCATGTGTCAAGGTCAACCAAAGGTCATTCGAGGTCACATGAGGTCAACATGAAACTTGACCTTTTCCAAACAGCATATATATATCATTCGACGTGGCTTGACAAGGCAAATGCGATGGTACCACTGCCGAAGCTCTAGGACTATTTTTGTCGAAGTTATTTGCGAAAAACTAAAACCACATTTCGTGGTCGTTGACCTGAACTCTGACCTCAGGTCACCAAAACTATTTTTTCTATTTTTCTCTAGGTCAAACGCTACACAACCGTGCTCGTAATTTGTCTTTATCTCTAAAACTCTATTTTTAGCAGCTATTTGAAGTTTGCGTCTGTGACGCCGAAGTTTTCCGTGCAGGGGTCTAGAAAAATCGACCCTGTGACGTCATCAAGGGGGCTAGTTCCAAATTTTTTACTTCAGAAGATGTCAAATCGATTGGATAAAAGGTACTGAAAGTTTCGCTTCCCTGTCCCTAAGCGTTCGGGAGCTATCGCAAATATTCGCCAGGGGGGGGGGGGCGAAAAACGCCCCCCCCGGGCCCGCGAGGGTTAACTTGCTCGGTCGCTCGATATCGAGACTCCTGACGAGGGTAGTCGCAGTTGGGGGCAGATGCCAAAGTCAGTTGAAGTCAGTTGAATTGCATGGACGTTTTTGTCTTGCTATGATACAGACGCTACACTTACCTACCATTCCAACGGTTATGATTCAACCCGAAGTTGCCCGATCGGACGGTAGGGGTTTGGGCCTACGCAATAAGCTGGTCTTGGCGTGGGCTCCGGCCAAGGCTATATAAGAGCTCGGGCTCTGTCATCAATCCATGTGAAAAATTCAGCCATTTTTTAACTGTCCTTTTGGAGATTTGATCCGCTTGACCTGTGTGATAACAGCGTTAATGTCGAGGGGTTTACCCGCTGACTAAACGCCTACCTACCGTGTGTCATACATACTGCCATGTCATGCATGCCACATCATGCCATGCACTCAGTACATGGCATGAGTGCACTTGACATGTAATGAGACCACCTTTGACCTATAGGCTACCTCCCTTGCGCTCGCAGGAACCTCCGAAGATGGCTCCGGCCGTCAAAGAGAAGCACCTGCGCGAGATGCGCGCCCACCTGAAGGCGGAGCTCGGCGGCGCGATGCGCGACTGTGGCTACCCTGAGAACGTGGGCGACTACCGCGGCGACGACGAGCTGGGCACCTTCGTCTCAGAGGTCAAGGGCATCTTCTCGGCCGGCCTGCAGACAGAGATCGGCCGCGTCATGGATGAGGAGGCGAGTTTGATACTGCTGGGGAAGAGTTAGGCACGGGGTCTTGTGCGCTGACTCGGTGGGGGGGGGGGGGGGCTGTTGTTAGGGAATGCCAGTGTAATCTAGCGGCATAAGGAAATGGCATCGTCATGTCTTAGCCGTGTACCTGACAAGTTGCTGAGATTACGAGGAGAGGAGACACGCAAACTCCCTTTTTCTTAGTTCCGAGCGGCGGCGTGGTGACCGGACAGACCGCCGGTGGTCGACTCCAGAGGACACGCCGGTAACCGCAGCTGTCAGTTTCGTCAGCAACTCGGGCCATAAAAATGCGCCGCTGTGCACTGTGCAGGAAGCCTTTTTGTGGAGGTGTCACGAACTCCCGATGGCAAAAGCTCAGCTTGAATAACCGGCTTTAGCATGAGCTTTTCCCTGTTGTCATGGGCTTTCACTTGTTTTTTTTTTCTCATTTTATTATCAGCCGATGCATTTGCTGAATACCTACAATATATCGTGTCGTCTCATCTGTGGAAACGGTCTTGCTAGCTACCATTCACTACCCTGATATAAATCGAAGTTTATTGTAATATTGGTTCAATCTGTGGTGTTCCTTCCTCCTACATGTCCCCCTTTTAACCAATTGATCTAACCCGCAACCTCCAGTCTGCGAGTCAACCTCCACCGATTTCCGCGTCGCTGCACCGAGCTGTGCTGATAAGCTGACCCAGCTGACCTGTGCGGTGCCCTTTGCTGTGCTGTGCTGATCTGCGCCGAGCTGTGCTGACGTGATCAAACGTCACGCCCCCACACAGAAGGTGCAGTCGGCCAAGGTGCGGAAGGAGCGCGACGAGTTCCGCGACCGGGGCTCGGACGAGGCCGACACCACCGACACCGACGACGAGGAGGAGCTGGGCAAGCGGAAGAAGAAGCGCACTCGGCTGCGTCCCAGCGACGTGGCCGGCCGCGCGCTGCTCACGGTGCTCGCCAAGGACCCGGCGCAGTCGGCCGAGCTGCCCAACAGGTGCGCCCGGCGGAGACGGGAGGGGCGGCTGTCGATTGTCTCATGTGTATAAGGAAAAACGAGAAAAGGATTTGTACAGGGGATGGAGGGGTAGGAGCCAGTGCACGGCTCACTAGCTAAATAACAGTACAATTGTCATTGTTATTGGAGCTGAGTGAAACAGTCCCGCCTCATCTTCCCGCAGACTGAATGACCAGTTCCACAGCCCCTCAATGTTCCTTTAACCGATACGATCGGATGCCCAACCACCTCCTTTCCGGCCCAATGACCAGCCCGGCCGCCTCTCCGGCAGACTGAAGGGCCAGTTCCCGCTGCTGTCTCGCCCGTTGCGTCGGCACGTGTGGCTGACAGAGCTCCTCTCCAGCGAGAACAAGCGCCACGTCAGCGTGGAGGAGGCAGAGCCCCAGCTGATGGCAGCCTTCAAACAGACCCTGACCAAGAGGACCAAGGAACAGAAGGGTCAGAGGGCGAACCGCAGCCCGCAGTGGAAGCTCATCGATAACGTCCTTATCGAGGCAAGTTAGCGGCGAAATCCTAGTCAGGAAGGGTAGCTTCTGGGTATTACCAGTTGAATGGGCAATTAATTGACGTTACGTAACGTACTGACTGCTTTGAGATTTCATCAAGTCAGTTGCAACCTACGTTAAGCTGCCTGACATTTGTCAGATAATTATGACACATGCATTTCCATGCTCTAAGGTTTAGGAAAGGTCAAACAGGCAAGTTAGAAAAGACGCGTTGGCATTTCGCCTAGTTAGACTTGTTTTCCATATCGCCCCTAACTACATTTACCGTGCCTATGGTTGTCCACGTAAAATACCTACCAGATTTTTGCGCGATTGAATCTCACCTTTCTCTAGCCGAGTCTAATAATTTATCGGTGAAAGCTGATTGTTTCATGCCAGATCAAAGCTGAATCCGGCTGGCTCGAGAGTCGGCCTGACCTGTTGTCCATTATACATAGATAAGTTATATATAGGTAGCATCAGGTTATTACGTTGGTGTATGACGGCGTCCCAGGCAGTCGTGCTTTAGTTTGCGGTGGCGACTTACATGACTTCTGCGGCTTCGCGGTCCTTGCAGACGGGACCGTGACCATAGTCTTTTTCCTGACCATGCAATTACTTGTGCATTAATAGAAAAAAGATCAAACATCAGATGTCACTTCCGTGCCTGCATAACTGGCTCAGATGCAAGCTCAGCCCGATCATAGTACATAAGTATTCAATTTGACTACATTAGGGGAAGGTGGGCATAGGTCGGACACCTTTTCTTTAGAGGCCATTTGCTCAGTAACTACTAGGTTCGGTGACCTGCACATAGTACCCTTGTTGGTCCCATGTGTGACCTTCATAATTACCGCGAAATAAAGGAGTTGGCTTGATATGCGATAGTAGATGACGCGGAAACTTTGGGTGACGTCAGATGTCCGAAAGTACCCCACCCGTGAGGGGATGTCTGGCAGTGGATTGGGTAGCTTCGGACTGTCGGCAGCCCTCTCGATTACATCACAGTTTCATTCAGGTACGATGTGCTCTCAATATACCCGATGTCAAAACGTCACATATGTTCAATAACGCCACTTTCACCCATATGGGAGACGAAATCTGGTAGGTACTGGAAAGTCCCCGTCCTATTCCCGTACACTCACGCACGTACCAACCGAAATATCTACCAATTTAAAAATGCATTCATTTAGGTAGTTAAGGTATAGTTTTAGACGTGCAGCTTACCATTTAACGATCATTTACCATCTTCATGCCATTTACCATCTGATGTGTAGCTTACAGACAGTCCGAAGCATCCCCACTTCCAACTGCCCGAAGCATCCTATCACGATTCACGTCCGGATAGCATGTGAAATGGCGATTCGTAAACAGACGTGAATTCTCAAGCCCGTAACAGCAGGTTAAGTTTACAACAGCCTAGCAATACCGAGATAAGGCAAAACAAACCGTCGCAGTTCAGCAGTTACAGGACACTACGATAACATGTTAAAAATTACATCACCTTTTCAAAAAAGGAAAAAAAACGGCAAACGCACCTCGCTTTCAAGCGCCCCCGCCGCCCGCGAACCTGGCCTTGACCTGGCCGCTGTATCCGGCCTACTGAGTCGGCCTACTGAACGCGACGAAACACACCGCTGCTGCTGCTGCTGCTCTCTTAGTGTTTTCGAGGAATTTGACTTGCCCGGACTATCCTGCCGTCCAAAATATACCCACTCTCCCTTATACGCTTAGTTAATGAGACAATTTATTTATTTTCTTGGGATGGGGTGGGGTATAGGGGCTCAGACTTCAAGTATGCATATATCGAACTCAGTCATCAGTGGCGTGGGTATAGGGATTTTAATGCCCGCATTATAATAAGCTATTTTCTCCTTATGTAAGTGAACGTACCTAGGTATTTATCTCTTTATGAGTCTATTATTTTTGTTATCCAACTTTCTCTGACGACTTATCGGTTAATCGGCTACATGATCGTTTTCTATCGATGAAAGGTGAATTGAATTACCCACCAAGTTGGTACCCAGCCTTTAAGCTTGGTTAACCTATAGCCTAATACTTTTGCAGTAAAACAAGCTTTATATATGCATTGCTGTCCTTAGGTTCAAACATGAAATAGCAAAGGAGACATTTTGATTCTTCCCTCATGGAATATCCGTAAAACTGTGCGAAGACTGTCCACGGTAAAATTGTTGATGGCCTGTGGATTACCTCGAGAGGCATCCCGATGTGTATCGCCGCAGGCTTACGACCGCTCGCTGCCGCTTCGGCCTCTCGACTGCGACGACCACTTGATCCTGGCGGCTCAGGCTCTGAACGTGCTGAACACGTACGACAAGGGCTTCACGCACACGCAGGCCTACTGGCTGTGCCCGCTCCAGCTGGCCATCGAGGCAGAGGAAACCGACACCGGTGAGGGTGCGCCGGGATCCGAGATGGGGATTTATAGAAAAAAGTCGCTGGTGCCTCTCAGAACCTGCCCGTAGACAGCGCAGTGTGGGTGCTTTTCGGGAACTCATCGATTTGGCATGCTTGGACGCACACTCAGCATGAACTCAATTCGTGCTTGGCGACGAGGGCATGGAGCTTTATAACATCTAATTTTATTATTGACTTGTAGCGCAAATGTTTAGTTACTTCATATTCATAACATATCATAAGTTACTTCACTGTACTTTATTTCATGCATAATTTACTTTATTTCAAGCATTATAAGCTACTTACCTTCATAGCAAAGATCATGACTCATATCATGGTTCATGAGGGACGGTACGGTTATGACGGCCGTTTACTATAATGATTTCATCGCAGCTCTGAACTCTGCGGTCTGCGGGTTGTCAAGAGGTCGGTTTCAAGACAGACGTTTTAGTTATAGCGTCACCGTCACATTATCAGAATTCGGTACTACCTGCGGTAGTGCAACCACAGGACACATGTGTTCCATTTCTCAGAGTCCTACGTGATTCAGCTGGCTCTGTACCTGGACCTGCTGCTGCGACACTGCAAGCCCTCCACCGAGCAGCTCTTCAAGCTGGCCGACAGGGTGATCGAGAACGTCAAGTCCAAGGACCCCGAGTACCACCGGCACCTGCAGGAGATCTGCCGCAACCGGCCCAAGGTGGTGATGCAGGTGAGCATGAGGGGGGGGGGGGGGCACCCGGGCGGACCTCGCAAACCATCGCTCTGGTGGGATGACAGACGGACGGGGGGGGGGGAGACCATCGGACGGGGCATCACGATTTTACCAACAACACAGGGAACAAGTGCCACAAAGCGGAACATTTCTAAAAGTCCTACACTTTCTCACTGCAAAAACGCTTTCCACATGCCTTAGAAGTTAATGGAACTGGCAGTTCTGGTCATTAACAAGATATTCTTTTGGAAGTTTGTGCTAATCACTTATGCAAGATTCCTTGTTGTGCTTATTTATTTACCTGCGCTCATTATCGTAACTTGTACAGAGGTCGTGTTGACAGTACGAATTCCCGGCGTGACCGATTCCATCAAAATCTGCGTCCGGTTTCAATGCTGAAGGAAGGATGTTTAGTAACTCCTGGAGCTATGCGGTGAATGTGACATTTCAATGAGCATTGGTCAACGGCAGAGATACTAAAGTATGATGATCTGTAGGCTGTAAGGAAGTGAAATGGGACTGTCAGTTCCTTTTTTGAAACGTTGAGATCGGGTAGGTAATCCTTAGCTCTTAACGACTGTTATCGAGCAGGTTTTGCTCCGAAGGTAAATCGATAGCTGCTGTAGACTGGTAAAGGTTTTATGTTAATATGCATGCCCAATGACCAATGACCATTGCCTTTGTGACTCCCATTCACTATATTTTATTTTCAGCACAAACAATGACATTTTGCAATCTTGGATATATTCCGATTACGTCCAACAAGGCACATATTTGGAATGCGCTCGTGATTTTCCCTTATAAATGTTTGCTTATTTTTGCATTTCTTGGAGATAGGCAGGTAGGTACGGAGTGGAATGTTGTGGTTGAGGTTGTGCTGCAGTATATCCGTTGATGTGCACATTTGGCTGGTTAGGCTGTCCGAGGCTGCAATTGTTTGCGGATCTCAGTAAATGACCCTGCGCAACCGCCGTTTACATCTTTTCGACATAAGCTGTCGGCTTACCAGGGTCAGCGGCCTTTGCTGTTTGGAAATGTCGGCTCTGAAACTTCATTTTCACTTCCTGGGCCTTTTTTACTATTATACTGCGGTTGTGTTTTTCTGGTAAAACCTTGGTTAGGTATACCTACCTTTGGGAGCTCAACCGATTGAGGCTATGAGTCTTATATGTAAGTACGTACATGCCTATACGAACTTATGCAACACCAATTCTTACAGGTGACGTATAATCCGTGGTGTAAATTGTAATAAAGGCAATGAACCGTACATGAATGAATGGCAAGCAAATAATGTGATGTCAGAACATGTAGCGTTAATAAAAACGCGTGATTTCGATGTCTGCATTATGTACACGTGTAACTAAGGTCAGTTTATGCATTCTCCAGGATTTCATTCCAGAAGTTCTTCATAAGGACCATAAGACTGCCGTGAAGCAGTATAACGAGATGCTGGACATGTTAAAGAAGGGCAAGGAGCTGAGCGCCAAGCAGGTCGACATGTTCTCCGATCCGAAGATATTCATCCGCAAGTGGCTTGTGCAGGTGAAACCATGAATGTTTTCTGGTCAGTTTAGTTTTGAGGCGCCAGAGCATCGATAACTAAGTGTTGTAATATAGGTTGAAGAAGTGCATCCCATTGTTATTTATTTAGGTTTCCTTATGAATATCTCGCTGGAGAAAAACTGTGTAATTATTATCCGTAGCAGATTATCAACACTTCCTTCGACTACGATTTCCTCTCATAGTGCTCAGTCACCCTGCTGTAGCTCCCTGCAGTGTGCCGTATGATAGCTCCCTCTGCTGACCCTTTCCCGCCGCGCCGCGGGCAGTGTTTTGTCGGCATTCTGAGTGTGACGGCGCAGCAGCTGCTCTGGGACCAGCTGTTCCTGCGCGACTGGAACCGCGAGCTGCTCTTCCACGCGGCGGTGGCGGTGCTCCACCTGATCCGGCCCTGGATGATGCGCGCCACCTCCTATAGCGGCGCAAAGAAGGTCAGAGCGCGCCATGGGCAGCCAGGGGTGACTGGTGAGGGGATGCTCATGCTGACTTGGCAAGGGACGAAACTTGAGCGTTAAACCTGGAACACAGCTTTCAAGCGTGTAAATCACGTCTCAGTACCTCCCATTGGAATACAAGGCTATATTTGCCGCTCTAAACTCTCAGCGCATTGAGGTGCGAGCTGGGAATAGAAAATGTTTTCCAGGGAAAGGTGCTGAGACGCGACTAGCACGCTTCAAAGAGGGCCAACGAGGCAGGACTGAAGCTTTCTCGGCGAATGCCGAAAACCCCGTCTCAGCATCGTCCCAAGGGCACAAGGTACAGCGTGGAGAAAAACCAAGATGGGCTTTTCTCGCCCATCGGCGGATCTAGGGGGCATTTTGGGCCAATGCCCACATCCCCCACAGCGCTCGAAATCGCTGCAACTTTGCCGCTTTTCTATAATTGGAAGAAAACTAAAAACTTTTATTCGGAAGAGTTTGCTTTGAGGCACACAACGGTGCATAAGGAATCGAAATTCGAGTTTTTCAATTAGAAAAAGAAACTTATTTTGAGGGGACGTGTCCCCGCAGCGTTCAAGACCGTCTTTCTTCATCCGCCAGTGTCTCACCCTCACCCGGTCTCACCCTTGGTCTCACCGACCGCACTGAATTATTGGATTGGCGACTGAAATATTTGCTAATTTTGCCTTGTTGTTTTTCTGGTCGCTGCATATAAAAATGGATATGTAGACCAAGAATCAAGCCATATTTTTATGCCATACGAGTAGTTCGTTGTTAGAGCCATTGGTAAAACACTGATCGTGGCCATGCTTTTTATGATTATATGCTCATATTTGGCTTTGGTTTAGGTACTCACGAGGAATTTTCTTCACTTAATATTCTTCGATAATTAGAAAGCATAGGCTTTGTGCTGTGATCGCAGCGATCATTACACAACTAATCTTTGTTATCGCTGCCAATGATATGACAAGTGGCATTTCTCGGTACTATGACGGCATTACTTGCTCGTCCCAATCCCAGTACTCTGTGCACTCTCACCATTAATAACATTATTTATTAAAACTGTTTATTACCGGGGTAGGTGTTCCTGGAAGAGCCCGGCAAGCTGTACACCCTGGACGTGCGGAAGGCCTTCATGCATCTGGTGACTGGCGGCAAGTACTCGGCCCTGCCGGAAAACAAAAACTACATCAGTCCACCGACTCCGGCGGCCGCACCGCGCGAGCCCAGCCCGCCCCGGCGCGAGCGGAAGACCGTCCTGCCGCCCGGTACGGTGGGCATCTAGCAGCCATGGTTTCGGGGTGGATCAGTTTCTGATGGTGCATTTATAGGGCTAAAACGCGCTCAGACAATGCCAGTGTTGTCTGATTATCCTATATAACGCAAGATTAGGGCTTTGAGCCGGTGACATGCCAAGATAACACATGTCCTGATTATTCACTGCTGTATCTTTCGAATATTGCAATACTGAAAATGAAAATTTTGCCGTATTTTTCAGTGAAGGACGCCAAGCCGGCGTCGCCGCCTCGACCTCGCTTTATGCCAGTCAACATCAACCTGGACGATGATGACGACGAGGAGGAGGTGAAGCCGAAAATTGAGCCGCTTCCCGACTCTGCCTCGAGCTCCTCAGAAGGTAAACTAAAGGCACGCACTGTCCATTTAGTCCTGGGACGCTAGACTTTTTTATATTCCACGGGTAGGTGACGCTATTCGGTTGGCTATGTGCTGGACATTCCACAGATCCCAACTTAACGAGCATAAACCTTTGGTGTCCAGTTAATGAGGACATGGACGTATCACTTATCCCACCTCGCCAGGACTGTATGTACATACCTTACCCCAGCTCAAGGCTATAAGTAACCCCCGGCCCATCCTGACTGGTTGCTCCGTGCGTAGCTGAGTAGAAGGCCTAGCCGAGTGGACGGGCCGCAAGCAATGTGACAGTGACGATGGTGACGGGGGCTGTCACAGCTGTAACCTGCTGTCCACCAGGAACTGACTTCCTGTCCACACTGCCGACTCAAACCTGTCAGGGATCATCGTGCCATTTAGAGGGCTTTTCTGTTGGCCAGCATGTGTTGCGGTCTGCAGTGCCAAATAAATCAGTTGTTAACCTCCAACCTTTGCAGGTGTAGGTATCTTGATGGTCTCTAACGGATATCACTTACCACTATCTACTCATCATCGCCTCTTTGTCCTGTTTCACTCCATGCAACTGGATTTCGTAATTGGCTAATTATAAAAAGTTATGTTGTACATTGTGGGATCTAGCCAGTGGTTACTTAGGTTATCTCGGCCAATCTCGGCTATCGTTACTGTTCTCTCTTGCGCTGGATTCTCACGAGTTTTGCAGACTTCTAAACCCAAACAGCATGCTAAAAGGCACATTTTATTGTTTTGCATTAAGTGATGTCTTCTCAATGCTAAGCCTTCCAGTTCCGAATAATTCAAAGGTTCATTGCACCATAACGTTGTTTTGACACAATCCTACAACACTGGTGGTCACTTACACTCTAGCCACACGGGAGAAAAATATTTTCTATACAGAATGTATGTTTACCTTGCCTCATATATGAACTCAGCATGAGTTATTTACTACAATAATATGCAAAAAGCGATCTTCACCCTGTCCATATGAGCCAATTCACCGGGCGCCGAACCCCTGTCCCAGACTCTGATGACGAGTACTGAACCGCTGTCCCAGACTCTGAAGACGAGCACTGAACCTCTGCCCCAGACTCTGACGACGACACGCCGCCGCCGCGCGACCCGACGCCGCCTCCCCGGCCGCCGGCGGCTCCGGAGGACGGGGCGTGGTGCCCCCATGACCGGAGCCAGGACGGCCGGCTGCCGGAGCCCACCCCGGTGACGGCCACCTTCGACCTCTACATCGACAGCGTGCGCTTCATCCCCGACAACGCCGTCTTCTGCAAGGTGGGTGCGACTCACGAGGCTGGTTTGAATCGCGGTGGTATCGTGGAGAGGAAACGGGTCTCTACAGGGGTTGTGTGGTGATCAATGTTATTGGTGAGTGGTGGTGAATAGTGAAGTGGATAAATGGGTGAATGTCAATCCGGGTGTATTCGAATCTGCAAGTGCGTTATGGTCCGAGGGATATCGACTGCACTGGAGCGTTATCGGGATTTTCGGGGAGCAGCGTGGTAAAACTCCGGTCACTCGTGTGATCGGGGCTCGTGCGATGTCGTCAGGTGACCGGACGCGTGTTCAACTTCAACCTGGGCGGAGAGGCAGAGAAGCTGGACGACATCCTAGCCTACCCTCTGCACAGCTCCAACCACCGCTGTCCCCGCTTCAACTTCAGGATGGCGCTCAACAAGGACCGCGTCATCGTCAACCACAACATGGTCATCATGCTCAGAATCTACTGCTATGAAGAGAGCACCAAGTAAGTCGGTGCCGATGAAGCTCAACTAACAGCCGTCAGTGACGTCATTGTCGCCCAATGCCCGGTTGTGGGGAGCTGCACCCTGCTCTGAGACAATTCTGATCTCCTGGCAGCTGATCTGTCAGTGATAACCGTCTTTGTATGTACCCAATGACCTCTCTATTGTCTACCGAACTAGGAGTCTTTGCCGAACAACCGGTAGTTCTGTCCTTTCAATCGCCTCTTTTTAACTGGTGTTGAATTATCACCGTAGCATCAAGCATTGCACACATCTTTTTCAATCCGGCGACCTGTGAAAACACGATCGTGGGCCGCTATTTTAACCCGCGAGTTGCTGGGGGGGGGGGGGCGTTAAACGCCCCCACTTTTTTCGCCGGGCCATAGCATAAAAACGGCGCGCCGCAGGCGCGCCAAATTTTGGGTACCTGTAGGGAATTAATTGAAGTTTATTGTGACAAAGTTTCAAAAAAAAAATAGGTCGGAAAATTTTTGAGATACCGAGTTTTTAGTGACGTCATGATTTCTGAGTTTTCGACCAAAAACGGCATATGTTAAAAAAATCATATAAAATCACAGAATAGACATACAGACATGCCGTAAACGCCATTAGACTGCCAATACCATGAACAATGAAATGGCTATCTTCGATTATTGATTATCGCTCCGCATTTTCCAAAATCTTGCACTGAATCTTGGCAATTTCTCGTGACTACTTCACGACCATGATACATGCATTACTTAAATTGAACTTTTTTAGCCAAACACGTACACATATGATAAAATGAATGTCACCATCGTGTTCTACGCCCCAAATTACCCATAAAACATGTGTCACAGGCTGCGAATATCAGTTTTTATTTTCGGGGATATGTGCCTGCCCGGTTGACCTGACCTTGACCCTGACCTATGCTTGACTGACCCCTGCATGGAGCTGACACTCTTTTAGGCCTTATATGATGGATTGTGCACCGTTTTGACAGAGTTTATGACGAGAGGCGCCCATTGCGAAGTCCTGAAGTCCATGCTACTGAAAGCCCGATTTCAGGTGTTTGACCTGACCTTGACCTAACCTGTGACCTCAAAATTCAAATTTAAAGTACTCATCTGAAGCGTCTCGTGTCGCGTTCTTTCGTTTGCCGCCTCGTGCGTTTCACTACGCCTTTTGGTTCTCGAGTTATCGGCTGGGGGCGTTTAACGCCCCCCCCCCCCCCCCAGCAAACGGTGGGTGGCGAAATACCCCAGCAACTGCTGGGTTAATCTGCTTTTCTTGCCGTGTCAAAACTTGTACGCAATCGGCATATGCGATGTTCTTAAAGGAAACTAGAATTAGGTTGTGGTTGTAGCATAAGCTAAGTAGCTGTAGCTGTAGCTAAGCTGTGCTAAGTTGTGTATGTAGAGGAGAGCCCTTGAAACGCTTGGCGAGCTCCACGGGCTTAGGAAGCTTAATTAATTGGACATGGAGAATCCGCGAGTCGCGGGTCTTGAGTCTTGACTGCATTTCGACGGCAATTAAACCCACGAAAATGTGTGATTAGTTTATTATGTTGTGGGCTAGATCAGAAATAGTTAAGCAGCAACGTATCACGTATGGCAAATTGATAAGGTAAAACACTATCCCATTCCTACCAGCGCATTGCGACAGCATTTGAGGGCTCGGGTGGCGTCTATCTTCCCTTCCCTTTATCTCCGTTCCGTCGTTTCCATCCTCAGGATAGTCAAATCCTTTCTCCACGCCTCCACCTCAGTTCCGGGCTGGACGGGCAACTTTATCCCAAGCGGTAGCTCTACATCTGGAGCAGGCCCGCAGCTGGGTGCAGTGGTTGTAAAGGATTGGGTGGTCTGTCCACTGGATGGGCTCAGCCCCGACGAGCCACCATGAGGGTGCCCGCCCAGACCAATGTCTTTCCCTAATTCCTATCGACCTACCGGCTCTGCAATTGCCTTAGCGCAGTGAAAACCACTAGTCATCATCGTTTAGAAATAGATAATTTTGTGGATTGTTGCGGCATAGGTAGCTATTTTGTTTGTTTTTAACAGGTAGTTGTATCTGGTTGACTGCAGGTAGTTTTTAACCCGCGACCTGGTGGGGGGGGGGGGGCTATTTTTTGCCCCCCCCCCCCCTCCAGACTTTTCGATATATCTCCAGCACCGCTGCGCCGATCGTCACCAAACTTTCAGTACCCTCCCGGACATCAATTTTACACATTGTGACCAAAATTTTTCCAAAGGCTATGATAGGTTGGCCGTAAATGACGTCAGAGTGACGTCATGTTCTGCCGTTTTCGACCCAAAAAAGGGTTTCGCGGGAAGAGCTGTCAGGCCTATAGCTTTGCAAATACAGAAAAATGATAAGACATAAAAGCTGTAGAATCGACAGGGCTACAAAACTGCTATCTCGGATTTTTGAAATTTTTGAATTTTGACCCCAAAAAATCAAAAAAATTTTTTTTTTGGATATAATAATCGAAAAATCCAAAAAGTTTTTTGAATTTCGCAAAAACCGGAATATATGTGATAGTCCTTACCACCTTCCATCCACATACCAAATTTGAGATTGATACCTCTTTTTTGGCGAAGTTATAGCGAAAAAAAAACTGTTCAAAATTGATGACGTCAAATTTTCAAACTCATTTTTTAGCAATTCTAGACCCCGTAGCGCAAAACAAAGACCACCATTAGACTCCCCGTGACGAGCTGCATCGAATCAATACCCATTTTATGCAAAACTATCAACTTTAAAATTTGACCTTTTTTGGCCTGACCTTAACCTGACCTTGACCTGAACTTCACCAGAAAGTGACCTAAGCCGTACCTGATAGTCTTATAACTAACACCATTGAGTTGGAAATGAAAAATTGGCCATAAAACATGCATCACACAACCTAAGTAAAGTTGGGCTCATGTGACCTGACCTGTGACCCTTGGTGACCTGACCTGTGACCTGACCTGGTATTGTCAGTGACCTCTAATAGCAACATATCTACTAGGCAACTGACGCTCTATCGCTGATTCTCGACAAAATGCGTTTTCCTCGGTGTTATAGCGCATTCCTTAGAAGACCCGTGAACGGTGAAACATTTCATCTTTGACCTGACCTGTGACGTCATCGGTGACCCCGAGGTCAATGAAATTCGGTTTCTGACGGCAAATTTGACAGGCCTTTCGAACGCCGTTTGAATTTTGCGGATCCGTCCAGTAGTTTCGGAGATACGAGGGGGGGGGCAAAAAATAGCCCCCCCCCCCCACCAGGTCGCGTTATAAACAGACCCCAGCAGGGCGCGGGTTAACTCAGTAGTTGTTATCGTGTGAGAGTGATATCCTAGTGAACAGTTTGGAAGTAGGGTGAATAGGTCAAAAACGCCCCCCTTAAGCGCGAACCCTTCTGACACTCAACCCAACACAGATTACTTAAACCTTTGGGCACCATCATGTAGCTCATTCTTTTTACTACGTTTTGAGACCAAGAAAAGACACCTGCGTGTGGTATTTAACCCCCCAAAAAGGTTTTCGCATACCCTTGCAAAAGGGCGTTTTGCCCCATACCCTGGGTAATACGCCCACACCCATGTGCAAAGCGCCCCCACCCCATCTATCAACAGAAAATGATGAACATGGCAGAACTTGACGTCGTTCTGACGTCATTTGTGGTCAACCTATCATAGCCTTTGGAATAAAATTTTGTTGCAATGTGTAAAATGAATGCCCGGAGGAGTCCTGAAAGTTTGGTGACGATATCTGCAGTCGTTTAGGATATATCAGCAAAAAAGGACAGGGAGAGGCCTTTTCGGCCCCGACCTACAGGGCGCTACCCTGCACTCTCACCACCGTGCAAAACGCCCCCCTTTCAGAAAACTGGGGGCGTCTTGCCCCATGCATCGAGTAGGCGTCTTGCCCCATCCACTCCATTTCCGGTCAACAAAATATTGACAAAAAACGCGCCACTAACGCCGCAGCATAATATATTCAACAGAATGACAATAAAACGCAGTTTTGAGTGATGTGCACAATAGCAAGGTTTGTGATATAGAGAGGGCATCAAAATATTAGGAATCTTCTGCAAAAACAACAAAAACAACATCCAAAACCAACATCAGCACCTACCCACGCTGCTCCTCAAGACTCAGAACCGGAAATAGAGACCTACGTAAACAAGCAGCTGACTGTTCTGAAAGACAGGATAAAACACCTATCCGTCGATAAGAAATACGATTTTTTTAGGGGAGGCGTTTAACCCAGGGGTGCGTTTTCCCCACAGTTACCCTATAACGTATAATCAACTGGCGTACTGAGATCACGGGAGAAAACGGCGGCGATGCATTGCCAGCTAAGACAGTGGCTCGTATTTTTGGAAACGAGACAGGGCATAACATCATTTTTTTCCGTCTGTTTCCTGCCTCGTGATCGGTGGATGACAAATTTATTTGATAATATAATGTATAACATACGTCAAATCCTAGCGTGGATCTGATAAGTGATAGATTAGGTACCTATGCATTTTTGTCACCATTGAACCCATGTTGCGGTTAATTACACGGGTTCGCTGAATTTGCAAGAAATGTCAGCAAAAACATGCAGGCTGGCAAGCGCTGCCAGAAGACCGCAGGGTATTTTTCGACGGTTTTCGTTGAAAGAATGGGACATCATTATACATATAAGGCTCCGTCTTACAGCCAGGCCAACCCATGGAAAAGTTCGATGGTCAGGGGATCGTGGCCAAGGGGTGGCAGGGCATCATACTGTACAGGAGATTACCTCCCGATAGTATCCTTGATTTCACCATCAATCATTACTATCAACGCTTTGTCAGTGGACGAACTGTGAGCCTTTTCAGCCCCCCCCCCCCCCCCCCCGCCTCCCCCTCGACCGATCCCAGATAACACCTTTGTCTGGAACAGCTTCCGTTATTGATGTGTGAAGATCTGACACGTCTATTCAACGGTTGTCAACTGCGGGGTGTGTATGCCGCGAAAAAGTTTCACTGGCAGCGAAATGGCGGAGCGTGGTAATTGGTGACCCCTACCCTCCCCATCAACGAGGGAGCTATTTGAGCTTCACCTTTTTTCTGACAGTTCATGAAGCCGTCTGGCCGATGTCCCCCTCCCCCCTCTCGCCCTCTGCCGGTCCTAGGGCGAAGCCTTCTGATCCACTTCACCCCCTCTAGGCAGAGAGTATGAGGCCATCTGACCCCCTTCCCCTCCACACACAAACACAGTGTCAAATTGTGAGGCCTGCTGACTCCATCCCCCGTCCCCTGGCCCTGCAGTCAGATGGTGGTTGCCGGCACCACGCTGCTGGCGCCGTTCGACTCCGCCCAGGGGAAGCCGGTGCTGCGGGTCGGCGGCCACCAGCAGCGGATCCGGGTCGGCCTGCCCAGCTTCGAGGGCGGCGTGGCCAACCTGATGGCCAGCGACATGGACAGCAACCCCACCATCCCGGGCCTGACCATCCTCTACCGACTGCTGCCCCACACAGAGGTACGGTACGAGTCGCTCCCGGTCAGCCATACCACTGGAAACCACGCTGGCTATCAATTTGTCCCGCGAATGCTTTGAAAAAGAGTCTTCTTGCCCAGTAGAACTTACTGCTGAGTGCTGAATTCTGACCCGTGACCTCTGACCTCTGACCCGTGACCCGGTGGTCAGTCGGCGGTGGACGCGCCCGAGTACAGCAGCGGCTACTACCAGAGCGCCAGCTGCGAGCCGGGAGAGTCGGAGAAGCGTCTGTTCCGGCACTACCTGCGCAGGGACACGGCTGACCTCACTGTGGGCGAGTGGTGCCGGCGGCTGCAGGAGAGGCAGAGGACCAGCCAGCTGGCGGATGGACCCAACCTGCAGGTGAGGAACTGGTGGGGAGGGGAGGAGGGGAGACAGGGAGGGACAGAATAATGGAGAGGAGATGGAGGCAAAAGGGAAGAGTTTGGAGAGGGAGGGAAGGTTAAGAATGCGCTGGTTGATACGGTAGAGGAGAACCAGATGAGATTGGAAAATGTAATTTAAAGGAAAGGGATGGTCAGCACATGGTCATTGTGACTTGTGTGTGAGTTTAGCATAAGGTACCGGGCGTGTAGGGGTACTAAATCACACGCTGACTAAGTGTAAATGCACGTTTTACGGTGTGCCAGATGACTGCAAGAGGGCCCTCAGTAATCAGCCTTTGTAATGCGTTGGATCATTTTAATGACCATTTTATGGCGTTTAAATGACATTATGATGACCACTCAACATTCCGTAAATATACTCGTACATCCAACTCATGTCGATGTAGGTCTATACGGCTCCAGTCGACAGGCACTTCGGAGTCGGATATCTTGGAATGATATCCGGAATACCTGTACGGGGATTGGTATGACAGTATTTTATGAAACGAGTGAGTCTCTGCGTCAATTATTTCGAACCTGTTTCGAATTAACCATATACCGTTAATGTTTCATATCCCATATCCATCACAAGCTCACACAGATTTAGCTTTAATGGGCTTCTTAATTAGCAGCACAGATATATGGCACCACTGCGTCGATAAAGGCCTGATATTGCGTCATAGTTAAGGCTTATTGCACGGTGCTCACTGCTTATGTAGCATTGGTGTTGCGATGACATAACCTGCTGATACTGACTGGTGATAATAGCCCTATCCCTGCGACTGCATTTTTTTTTTTTTTACTACGGACCAATATTGCGCGTTTTAACACACCGAAATGATCTGTAGGTACTGCGCAATGGTTCCATGGCACTGCAAAATACAAATTAAATAGACTTTCCAGCCTGTCATATCGCAATGCATTGGCATGCATAATGCATGTTGCCTTTCGTGGAATGCTCAGAAGAGAAGAGTCGGGCAGTATACCTACCTACAGAATAAAGCCTCAATGAAGACCCTGATCTGGCCCTGACCTGACCTGACCCAGACCTGTTTAAGGCCGATGCCTGACCCACGCTGACTCATGTTTCTGTTCTGGTGGTAGAAATGGATGGAGACGATGCTGGAGTCTAAGAAGGAGAAGGACAAGGACAAGAAGGCAGCTGTGCCCGATCTGGACCTGCAGAAGTTCATCCATTACGACATCGAGGTCGGCGCCAATGTGATGCTCGAGCAGGCGTTCGGACTGCCGGGTAAGTGATCTAGGACTGTCATAAGGCTGTCGATGCCTATGTAAACTCAGACTCAAAACCAGGGGAAACCTTAGGATGGGAGATTTTTCAACAGCAGGACAGGCTATGGAGCTTGTTGGAACGATGGTAGGTACGGTGCCAGGTAGCCGCCAAATGAAAAAAAAATGTCTGAACACAGATCAGGCATAACATTATAAGCAAAACACTGGTCGTGTTTGTTTATAAAGCGATCGTCAGGAAACGATAGCACAAAAAAACATAGGACGATCGCTTGGGAATCGAATTCACCTAAAAGCAAAATGCTCGCTGCAAAATGTAGGTAACATGCTTTGCGTGGTATATCAAACGCTGCCCCCTTGAGCATGCTTCGGGGCTATGCTGCTATCACGACTCTCTGTGATAGATGGGTTGGCTGTTTCAAAATCCGGTGTCATTGCCCGTCCCTGGCAAGGAAGCATTTTATGTCGCAAGACTGGTTGAATTGATGCTGAAGTATTGTTTGGTAAAAGTTTGCGAAGCCCGGTCATTGCCCGCCGGGCTGGCTCAGCGCATTGCCTGATTTCGAAATAAGAAACGGCGGACGTAACTGGATAGGCTGGCGAACCGGCCGAAAAATGTGTGACCGCGCGTCAGCACGATTTTGGTCGAGGTAACCGCAGCTTCCCCAATATGGCGGCCGCGCCGCTCTCCCCTCCCTCCCGTCCTCCCCTGCCCTAGCCCGTCAGCCAATCACAGACAGGCTCCAACTAACACCCCTCCCCTACGCCGGCCCGGAACTCAGCGCAAAAGATCGTTCTGGTGGCTTAGGTCCAGTATTATATATTAACGGTACCCCCACTTAACCGACTTGATTCGATATCATCAGCAATTATAATATATGTATGTGCTGTGAAATATATAATTGTATTCCAATTATCCCTAACGGATTTTTGACAGTATCACGGATGGATAAGCGTGAATGCGTGTCAATCATTTTGTATTTAATGTCAGTCTCAGAGTCAGGTGGCAACATCTCAGTTGATTCTATCAGATCCTGTTCACATATAACAATTTCCAATGCTTAAAAGTAACATTTATCATAAGCAATTTCAAATGGGTTCCACTGGGATTAGTTCACCCAGCAATGAAAGGTCGCTGAGTACGAATGTCTCGCAGTAGGTACTTTATGTATACACCTGCTCATTTTCTTCCCAGCTCTCTGAAATATTTCCTGAGGTAGGTCGAATTTCCGTTATCATCTACCACATCCCATAGGCTATCATGTGACATATTCCTTATCATGCCTACTCTTTCTATCATGTCTCAAGAAAGTGAGGGCATCGTGATGTCAATATTGTGGTGAATGGTACAATTTTACCTCTTTATCTGCTCAAAGGACCTTTTAATATGCAGTGGTAAGTTCCGTTTAGGCATAAAAGTAGTTACATTTTGTATGGTTGAAAGCTCATCAAATATCTTTAAACGCTCATTAGTACCTACCCACCTAGCTCGTAAATCAAACGTCAAAGCGGAAGTAAACTGAATTGTGTCCTGTTTCAGTCACTTCCAGGCATCAATCATATTTGGCGCACAAGCCCAAGGCAAGCATTGCCCATTGAAACGAGGCCACCGAAGCTGTTACTGCCCCCTTCCCAAGGCCCCTTCCCATGGCTGACCGGGCTGACCGAATTAGTGCCTACCTATTAGCCGTTTTCATGACGGTCTATTCGGCGAGTGCACCTGATTTGACCACATCTGCACCTAATCTCTTTTACAGCAAACATCTTCATTTTATGAATTTATTTCAGTGTTTTAATCGATGATGCTCTCAGATGATACGACAAAGCAGGCATATAAGCAATTAGTGTCACCCTAGCTGACAGCTACAAAGAGACACGCTGAACCTGATTTGACCAAATCTGCACCTGATCTGCACCAGATGTGTACCAAATGCAGGGGCGCGGGAACTACTTTCCGATTGGGGGGGCACACCATAATAGAGGTCAACCTAGGGTACCCCCAAATCTAGTTTTCTCACCGGTTTTAGGCCACTTATTTTTCACCCCTCGGCTTTTTCAACAAAAAAAAAACACTTGCAAAAAAAGTGTGGTATTCCGTCTCAAAGCTGTGGGGGCACCGCCCCCACGGCCCCAGAGTTGGGGGGGGGGGCAAGCTGCCCCCACTGCCCCCTCCGGCTCCCGCGCCTATGACCAAATGTGTACCAGATGGCCATCGTGAAAACGGCTATTACCTCTCTGATGACTTGAGACAGCATGTGTGAGATCTCCCATTGCCGATCGAAGTTTATATTGTTCGATACAGTCCAACAGTTGGCCAAATCATCGGCCGTTACTCCACACGAGTTCCCTGATGCAGTGCTTAGCTGTCGTGTTCGATAGTTTGACAGACGGACGCTCCCTTACACACAGGACAGTAAGCTGTGTCTGTCTGCGTCACAGTCGTGTGAGGTGACTCACTGTCCGGTGTGCCACTCTGACCTGGGCGCGCCTCAGCACGTGCTGAGGTAATGCCCGTGCCTGGTGGAGGAGCCTCCCCCCCCCCCCCCCGGCTCTTTAGCACGAGAACTGAGCAGGCCGGCCGTTTTGCGCGTGCGGCCGACTTCAGTGCGTCAGTCTCAGTGTTCCGGAGTGAGCCACTGGCTGGACCGGGGCGTGGAGTGAGCCACTGGCTGGACCGGGGCGTGGAGTGAGCCACTGGCTGGACCGGGGCGTGGAGTGAGCCACTGCACTATGGTTGGAAACGGCCTCACGGATGGCCGGGGGTCAACGCGAAAAAATGTTTTGCCCATAACTTGTTAATGCGTAGACCGACTGCGATGAAACTTTGCATAGGTATACCAGTGTCTTTCGTGCATCATACAGTAACTCAGAAATGACGAGGTCACGTCACGTCACGCGTGTGTGACGTCATCATTGCAAGTATGCTATAAGTAGCCTATGTCTTTCGTTATGTTATCGATATCGCTAGGCATTTTGAACATGTTTTGAACACTGCTATTACTGAATGGATATTGTTGTTATGCTTTAGGGCGAGAAATATCAACGTAGTGACGCACAGTGTCTTACTATTGGTCATAAAGGGTCAAAAATTTGGAGAAAGAGTATTTATGATTTTTTTTTAGATTGGGCAAAAAAGTAAGAAATAAAATGACGATCAAATGACAAAACATGCGTCAGATTAACCCGGCAGTTGCTGGGGTATTTCCCCATCCGCCGTTTGCCGGGGGGGGGGGCGTTCAACGCCCCCAGCCGATAACTCGCGAACAAATAGGCGCAGCGAAACGCACGAGGCGCGGCAAACGAAAGAAGAACGTGACGAGACGATTCACATGAATACTTTAAAGTTGAATTTCGAGGTCACAGGTCGGGTCAAGGTCAGGTCAAACACTTGAAATCGGGCTTTCAGTAGCATGGACTTTAGAACCTCGCAATTGGTGCCTCGCGTTTCGCGTTTCGAGTATATCGTCATCAGTTGGTCCTAAATAAATTCAGTCATCAGTTGGTCCTAAACAATCTGTCACAACTGTCACAACTGTCACAACCCTTCATATAAGTGCTAAAAGAGTGTCAGATCAATGTAGGGGTCAGTCAAACATAGGCCACTGGCCAGGGTCAAAGTCAGGTCAATCAGGTAAGCACATAACCCCGAAAATTAAAACTGGTACCTATTCGCAGCCCATGCATGACACATGTTTTATGGGTACTTTTGGGCGTAGAACACGATGGTGACATTCATTTTATCATACGAGTACGTGGCTGGTTGAAAAAGATCAATTTCAGAAATGCATGCATCATGGTCGTGAAGTAGTCACGAGAAATTGCCAACATTCAGTTCAAGATTTTGGAAAATGTAGAACGATGATCAAAAACCATAGATAGCCATTTGATTTGCCATGGTATTGGCAGTGTAATGGCGTTTACAGCATGTCTGTATGTCTGCTCTGTCGGTGGATATCCATATCCATACTCCAGGATATCCATACACGTTTGCACGATATCCATACTCCAGGTGCAGGGGCGAGCAGTTACTTCTTACGAGGGGTGCGGAGTCGAAGTCAGAGTCGGAGTCAGAGTCGGAGTCGGAGTCAGAGTCGCCCAGAGTCGTGGCAACGAGCCAGGAGTCGGAGTCGGAGTCGGGGTCGGTCAGGAGCCCGCAGTGGAAGTCGGAGTCGGTCCGAATCGGAACAGCTCCATCACGACTCCGAAACACTGGCAGGGGTCCGGAGTCGGAGACAGAGTCGGCCGGAGTCATGGCAACGAGTCAGGAGTCGGAGTCGTAGTCGGAGTCGGATTTGGCGCCACCACGACTCCGCAAACCTGCTTCTTACCATCATTTATAAGGATAAGCGATTGCAAGACTGACGAGCCGACCTGGTGCTAACGAAGCGACGGGTAGGTACGCCTCGGGAGATGAAGCTTCATGGACGATTTTGCGCACAAGTGCGCAGTCTGCTTTTACGTTCCCCTTACGCAGAATTGAACAGAGATTTATTCTGCCAAAAAGCTCAATGGAGGTCGATGGAGAACTTTTTGTATGTCCAATGAAACATAAACGTAATTTTGCAAATATTGCTGTGGTGACACTGCAAACAGAATGCAATGCCGTTCCTGATTTTGAACACGCATGGGAAAAAGAGTCACTCCACTCGATAGCCAACATAACAAGGATTATTTTGATATATAATAATCCAGTTTTACAACGTCATGGAGGTACTCCACATTCTATCACCAGCGCGGTTGTTTAAACCTTTGACGGCGCACCAAAAAAGCCACTATCAGAAACTCCCGATTCCACGTACAATAATGGAGACTAAATGCGCAACTAAATAATTTTTTCTGCCCAATTCAAAACATTTCATCAATTTCCAACAGAATGACACCCCAAACATACATAAATTCCGAAATTGCCCACGGCCATCCGTGAGGCCGTTTCCAACCATAGTGCACTGGCTGGACCGGGGCGTGGAGTGAGCCACTGGCTGGACCGGGGCGTGGAGTGAGCCACTGGCTGGACCGGGGCGTGGAGTGAGCCACTGGCTGGACCGGGGCGTGGAGTGAGCCACTGGCTGGACCGGGGCGTGGAGTGAGCCACTGGCTGGACCGGGGCGTGGAGTGAGCCACTGGCTGGACCGGGGCGTGGAGTGAGCCACTGGCTGGACCGGGGCGTGGAGTGAGCCACTGGCTGGACCGGGGCGTGGAGTGAGCCACTGGCTGGACCGGGGCGTGGAGTGAGCCACTGGCTGGACCGGGGCGTGGAGTGAGCCACTGGCTGGACCGGGGCGTTGGAGTGAGCCACTGGCTGGACCGGGGCGTGGAGTGAGCCACTGGCTGGACCGGGGCGTGGAGTGAGCCACTGGCTGGACCGGGGCGTTGGAGTGAGCCACTGGCTGGACCGGGGCGTGGAGTGAGCCACTGGCTGGACCGGGGCGTGGAGTGAGCCACTGGCTGGACCGGGGCGTGGAGTGAGCCACTGGCTGGACCGGGGCGTGGAGTGAGCCACTGGCTGGACCGGGGCGTGGAGTGAGCCACTGGCTGGACCGGGGCGTGGAGTGAGCCACTGGCTGGACCGGGGCGTGGAGTGAGCCACTGGCTGGACCGGGGCGTTGGAGGATGATGAGCGCGGGAGGGATGTGATGAGCGCGACGGCACGTGCGGATTAACGGTGATACCCTGGGTCATGGGAGATCCTTCGGGTGAACGAACGTCGAACACTGACCCTAATGCTGCCCTTAACCAAGCCATTGCGCCTAGCGGTTTTCTTGCGAAACGAATTGCTTCTACATAATTTACATCCCTGATGAGGATAACAGCAACTTCTGGCCACGTGTTTTGCCTACATTAGCAATCCTTTTCTTGTTCTTATCGAGTAATCTTTAAATATGTAAATATTAAAGTTCTCCATTTCCTTCTAATTGATGAAATTATTGATGTAAACGACAGAGTCCGTCAGGCGGTAGAGGCAGGTAAGACTGCCTTATTCGGGATAATTGATTGTCTTCCAGTAAGAGATTGAGACATCTGCAACCTGAGTCGTGTTTCTGAGTCCGGGACCACCCAGGGCCGTATGGGGTAAAAGTTGGCGACTGGGCCAATGCAACGGCACGGCATATAGGCTAAGTGGGCCATGAGCTGCTCGGTGACCTGAGCAAAACTAGCGTCTTGCGTTTGCGGAGAATGCAGGTCCGTGTTAACTCTTCCATAGCAACTAGTGATCAATGTTGTATCTACATTCCCATATAGGTAGGTACCCATTACCATTCATTCCAAAATTGTACCTACTTTGTAATTTGAAATACTTGTGGCTATTTGTAATAGATTGTTATTATACTCTCAATTAATCTTTTGGCTCCAAATAAATTTCAAGTGACCGAGCAACCGAAAGCTGTTTCCGCTTATGCCCCAAAGTCACCGGCCCTTACGTCTATTGTGCAATGGTTGGAAGTTTAATTTCGTAAAGTTTCGCTCGTTTAGCAGGAAAGGTTAGAAGATTTGGGCCTGGTTTGTTACCTTGCAGCGTTTCTGGAGAACCGTTTCACACTGGCCATGGTGGAATACCTGCCCGGAAAGGCCACTAAGGACTCCGGGCCGGCCGGAGCCGGTCGCGGCGACCCGGCCGCCGAGCGCTTCGTCACCCAGAAGCTGGACATCAACAGTCTGCAGCGCTCGCCCAACTGGACGGACCCGCACACGGTCAGTCACCTGGGAGCGACAGCGGAAGGTCAGGCTACGACGTGCAGTCCGACGCGCCGCCGGGGAATGGGTACGCCAGGGATGTTCCAATATGTTATGGCATAGATAATGAATTTCATGTTGTCTATGGTTATGGCAATCGGCCGACTCGGGATAAGCATAGGCGGCGGAACGGGTAGGGCACCGGGGCACCGTGCCCCCTTTGATTTTGCCATTTTAACACTAGCCCTATGGGCGTTGCATGGAATGAATGGGACCAAAAGTCGGCAGTGCCCCCCCCCCCTTACTTGAAGGTGTTCCGCCGCTACTGGGGATAAAAGAGGCTCATCGAACTTTATTGTCTTGTGAAGGCATATAGGCCCTTGGATTACCCGGCCGCAGTTGTAGTTTTTTTGTTTTGTTTTTTTGTACGTGTTGCTGCAATGCTGCCAATCATACGCTGAACGTACCAATCGATTAATTTTCTTCTGTCCGATGATTAGTGACCTCACCGCCTCCAGCTATAGACAGCCATGCTGTTGGCGACACCTCGTCTCTGTTCATTGTCACTCGATCTGACCCAGACGACAGACACCTTCCTCAATGCCTCTGATCTGCCACACGACTCTGATCACCCGGCTGACTCGCTCTGACTCTCCCGAGTCTACCGTGGGCCTCACCCGACTCACCAGGAGTGACAGCCGGCTGTAAGAAGAGAAGGTGCCCGGCCTCGTATGAAGAATGTGATTTGTGTCGGGAGTCCCTTGGCGGACGTCGAACGCCGTAAGACCCGTCCTCTGACAGCTTGATAGCCATTCGACAGTCGTATAGGAGGCCGTAAATTGTTGTAATCGGCTCGATGGGTGGCTTACCTCAGTTTATTATGTAACGCTCACGAAGTTTTAGCTGGGTCAATAGAGAACGATGACGGGTCAACGGACGGAAAACGGTACGCACCCGGCCGCTGAGTCTATAGAAATGTCAGCAATGGTGACCGCACGTCCTGTAAATTTGGGCAATGTGTCTTATTGAGTTGACTGTCGTTCCGACTCGGACCTGTCCTAACGTTGTCAGCCGGAGGGGCTCGGAATTCGAGATGTGGGCCACTGACCGTTCACAAGCGTGTGCGAGTACTTGCCCGGATTTATCCCGCTTATCTCGAGGTCTAAATTCTTTTACAGCTCAGGACTGTTTCAATGCTGTAAAAGCGCATTGGTAACATGTTTTGGCAAAGCAAAGAACGTTCTAGCTCTACGATGAATGCGACGCAGCATTCATACAAATGCGTTTTCTGGATACGCCTGAAAGCCAACCGACTTCCAACTAGGTCGAACGCAGGGTTAACCCTTGGGAAATTCTGTGCTCCTTTAGTGCAACTATGCATTTTAATCTATGCAGAGGACCCGAGTCGGTGCGGCAATGTGGTGGGATGGGCCGAGCTGAGCTGACGTTCTCAGAAGTACCTGTCATATCCTCTGACCCGGGCGTGCGGTATGTCCGCAAATACCTTCCGAGCCGGCTGTCAGTCATTGAACGTTCACCTCTGGCCTAAAGCCTCCGCTGGTCACCTTCGCGGCAGGCGGTGGAACATGAAGTGACGCTTTACCTGCGTCCTGTAATTCATTTCCGCGGTAAATTATGAGGCGTTAGGTGCAGAATAATGTAATTTAATGCGACAGAGATTGATCATTAATGATGCGCATAATTTATGGTGAGCATCACAAATCAAACATAATAACCGTTTGTAAGACGGATGTGCCATTTTTGACTTTTTCAAACATTTATGTGCCGAAAATGTCAGGTATCAAGAACTTTGAATCTGAAAATTGATTGCCAATGTTTTGGCATATTTTGAGCTGTTGCAAGATAGTGAGAGATGACGCAACCACCTAAAATTGTCAGCTGAAGACTTGCGACCGCAACTGATCCACACATTGCGACCCAGGGGTGACTTATGACTTCTCCACCCCCCCCCCCCTCACATAGCCACACTCTCTTGGTGAGCCTATCGCTCCGGTCACACCCCGTCTCTCCCCGTTCGACAGACGCTCCACCCGCACTACGACGACGACACAGTGCTGGTGGTGCGCCTGTTCTCTCTGCCGCTCGAGTACCGGCCCGGCGGAACGGTGAGGCCGCGGGACGGAGACGCCGAGCCCGAGCTGCAGCTAGACCGGCCCGCCGCCTGGACGCTGCTGCAGCTCTTCGACAGGTGGGAAATCGACGGAATATGACCTCAGGTCAACTGAATTTGAAAAACCGGGATGGCGCTCGGTTAGCTTAGCATATTCTGCAAGTTTGAATCAATTCGATGCACAACTCTAGATTTCATGGAAAAATAGTGTTCCTATTTTTGTGCCAATTTTACACTGTACCGATTTTTGTGATCTAGTGACCTGACCTGAGGTCACTGGATCTCAAAACTCCCAGCACACGTGCCAAATGAAAGCCCCAAATTGTGTCTGAAATTTGGTTGCGTTATAAGTGCTACGGCAATCGCGCTATTAACGAAAAACTGTCATTTCGTTGTCGCTAAACTAGTCCAATTTTACCCTGAACTTGTATCGGTTTTTTGTGACTTGGTGACCTGACCAGTAATGACTGAGACCTGAAATCTTCGGGAAAGGTATCAAAAGATTGCCCCAAACTTTGGTGCCAAATGTGGCGGCGCTACGCTCCGCCGTTTTTACGCTATTTGCAAAAAAAAACTTGGGGGGCTGGGTGCATCAGCCCTCCTCGCCGGGCGATGGTTAATTATGTGTTCATGAATAATCGGCATTTGCATACCTAAGTGAGTACGTATAAGTTTGTTCTCCCGAAAATTTGTTATTGCTTCCGTAGATTCATCACATTATCTTAAATCTAGGCGCAAGCTTAGGTATCATTTAAAACTTGTTAGGTAATGCGATAGTTTTTAGAGATAACGCGTTTTTGTACGACTTGGTAAGTGTCGAATTGCATTATCTTCATATAACTGAAATATGCGATTCAACATTTCCCATGTCTCGCAGAAACTTCTTTTTTTACAAGCCAATAGTTTAATCCGACATAGATATTGTTTGGCACTGGTCGTCAAAAGTTGTGGTATTCTGCCGAAGCGCACAAACAAGCAAATATGTTGGACCACCTCACTATAGTATAACCGGTCCTTGATAAATGGATCGTATCCGTGTGGACCGAACCGATCGTTTACAAATTCAAACGGCGACGCTGCTTTCCTCAAAACGTCTTCTTGCTATTGGATTATTGTGCGGTTAGCTACGAAGAGGTTCCATCAATCTCTGTGCTGCGGACGTGAAGGATTTTCATCCGACTGGTCGGTTTGTGTGCCTGTGGCGTCGCGGCGATCCGGTCGATGCGACCCGTCCGTCAGCATCAGATGTCACATCATGTGCCAGGGGTGAGCCGGCTCAGAGCAGGCCCACTCCCAGGTCTGGGGAGGATGAGGAAACCCACGAGCACGGCGGCGACAGACCGCAGGGTTCGACGGTCGCCGGCCTCACCCGGCCGGCCGGGCCCATTACAGAGGTGCACCTGTGCGCGGAAGGAGCACAGGGGGCTCTCATGGCAGCTGCACACTGGCATTTCCGATCGATGTGGTGGCTTTGCGGCGTGTAATCCTGTCGACTCGAAAGTCGATAGCATCGTTAGCTGGTCGGTACATTTCTATTGGGCACGTATTTTTAGTGACATATCTTTCGTCGATATCTATCTCAGCCCTCACAAACAATGCATTAATGTAATCGACAATTTCTCAAAGCATACTTAACATGTTTGTTTGGTTTAAGACTTTGAATATCCCCTAAGTAGGTATTGATACCTACCACTTAGCCTCAAGAAGCGCCTTGGGAAATCCAACAGAGAGAAATAGAGCTTAGAGATCGCCAACCGTTATTTTCCCGAACCACCGTACATGTACCTTTTAATTCACCCAGCAAAACTGGAACGCACCCTTCCAAATTCATTGCAATGATTACATCTTAATCATGGGGGGGGGGTCAGCACCGGTTTTGGAAAAAAAAAGGCCTGACACTAGGTATGCCGCACTGGCACGGAAAATGCAAATAACCCTACTATCGAAGATACGAGCGTATGTTGGACGCGAAAACTACTCCACACCTCACCCTCATATTGAGTTTCAAATACATGCATGGCATCACTGTTATTATCATTTTGCTATTAAGTGTTTCATAAGTTGACGTCAGACGGCATTGCAATTTCGACAGTCTACCGGATCTTCGGAAGCCTGTAGTTAGTACGCATCCCATTCAACAGGTGGCTGCAGACGTCGGCTCTGATATTTCAGATGGCAGCACGATCGCTGTTGTTGCCCTGACACTGGCTCTCTCCTCCCGTCTACAGCAAGTCCGTGTTTTCTGGCACTCACGCGGTGCCGCTGCTGATGCCGCCCGTGAACTCCGAGTTCCTGGAGCTGGCGCAGCGCACCGGGGCCGGCGCCAAGCTGTTCTCCGAAGGAAAATCCAAGGAGCTCATCACTCCGCACGTAAGTTGATTGGGGATTCGATGACATTTAAAAAAAGTAATACCCCCTGTTTGGATTGACATTTGGAACCTAATTCCGTCTTATCCGTGCTACATTTCAGTCAAGCGTGCATGCCCCTGTGAATGTCGGCTGGTCTGAGGAGGGACCCAGCGTACTGGTGACGAGTGACGACTCGAGTTGACCGTTGAATTTACCCGGGACGGTGCCAGCGCATGTGTACGACGTGGGTTAACCGTTTTCCTCCGCGCAGGACGGCGCCAGCCTGGAGGTGACCATCTGGGACGGCACGTTCAGCAGCGAGGAGTGTCCGCCGATCCAGCGGTACGACTCGGTGCTGGCCGCCCTCCAGCCGCTGGACAAGTACAACAAACACAAGTCGCAGAAGGCCGGCCCGCCCGTGAACGCGGTCAGTGCGCCGGCCGACATCGACATGTATTGATGATCAGTATACGACTGTGTATTAGAGCACGCAAAAAGCTACGTAACGTCGCACTGACTAGTCTGATGTTGGCTTCTGACCTGACCGAACTTTACATATTCCTTATCCTTTTTGTCCCAGCAAAGTTGCAGCATGGCCATTGGCCACTGTCACCGTTCATGTTTAATTACTTTTTGTCCTTCCGACCCGTATTCCACGTGAATCATTAAGTATCCCACCATTTCTACCGGATAGATCTGGCTTTAGCCTTCACGCAGCGATCACTTTCGCAGTCTCCACTCTCCACCACATGTCTTTGTTTCACCATTAATAATATTCCCTTCCCATGCTACCTTCTGTGGATCCCCAGTTCATAAACGTCCTTCCCAAGTCCATGCTTGTCCCTCCCCAGACCATTTGCAACTGTCCTCGACTCTTCGCCCGGTCCATAAACCCGACCCCGAGGGTGACTGACCAATGGCTGTAAACCGTTCACCAGCTCTGTCAATTACCCTGGCTCGGATAGCGCCTCGGCGCCTCCCCTCCTGTGTTTATTGAAATAGTGTGTTCGTTGGTCTTTGATGACGGTGGATTCTGAGTCAGGACCGGGGAGTACTTCTATGACACGTGGCTCATAAACACGATATTATTCAACGAGCTGTATCTCAAATAACCGGAAATCTATGTTATACGAAATGTGATCACTGATGAAACTTCCAATTTGACCACAAGTTAGTCATTTGATTGGGGCCACGTTTCGCCATAGATTACGTATCCATCTGTTATAATAATCTCCCAACAGAAGTGATGAATTTAATGACGCATCACCTAGCGTCTGACATTGCCAACATATGTGCCGTCTTCGGCAGCTGGTCTTTGAGAACATGACGGAGAAGCAGCAGCAGGAGGGCGTCCACGGCGACGACTACATCTACGAGAAGCAGACCTTCGAGACGGCCATGGTGAAAAAGTTCAACACCCTGCTGGTGAGCGAACGGGATAGGGTTCTGATCGGACATCCTGTCCTGGTTCTGATCGGACATCCTGACCTGGTTCTGATCGGACATCCTGACCTGGTTCTGATCGGACATCCTGATCTGATTCTGACCGGATAGTCACGCGTTTCTCGGACCATATCCGATTGGTTACATATTTTGAATGCGTTTTTTCCTTAACAATAATCGTTCCCTTTGTTTGTTTATGGCGTGTGGGGCCAGAGTTTCAGTGATACGGGCTGGTATTTGGATTTTGGACTGATCGGATTCGGTCGTTCCAAAACAAATAACAAATTTCACGTCCAGTGGCTGTTCCGATATGACGCTTTGCCCTTGCCCACTTGACCATGCAGCTGTTCCGCACTCCAGTCTCAGCAGACACGGCCTGACGGAGGGTGTCACGTGCCCCCCCCCCCCCCTCCTCTATGAGTCACCGTCTGTCCTGTGTCAGTAGAGGGGGGGGGGGGGGGCGGAGGGGCTAGGACAGAGCGGTCACCACCTCGGCTGAGGTCATACTCTGATAACGCTGCAACCTCCCCTCCCCCATCAACCCCTGCGGCCCAGTGTGACGTGGGGAGTCTGTGTAGACTGCAGACACTAGGGCGGTGCTCTGGTCACCATCACATCACCAGAGCAGACAAATGCTGCTGACAATACGGGAGGGGTGCGTGTCAGACACTTTGAATTAGTTATTGGAGCGCCTCGCTGGTTACAATAATCGGAACTAAGCTGTGGTTACAAAGTCCCCGACCAGATTGTTCCGTCCATACTGGCTTATTCCTCCGCAATCTACATTAGGCGAAAGGACGAACGGTGCAGGACTGTTGCTGAAAAAGTAACGGCGTCTGAGCTGTAACACTCTCACACCACGCTAGGTGCACCGGGGCATATTTATCTGGTGCTTGGGGCCGGGTTGGGTCGGCATATCTCACCCAGCTGTTATGGCCAGAGCTGCATACCTCTGCCCAGTGTTCTGTGATCCGCCGCCTCCGGCGCCCGGCTGGGTCTGATCTGTTGTGTTTATTCGATATCGGTGACACAGTACAGTGTTACTGCAGCGCCGCATTGCCAGCCGGTGAGGGTGCTTACACAGCCAGTCCGAGACACTGTGCTGAGTGCAGTCCGCTGCGGCATGGTGAGTCAGCCGAGAGAACAGACTTTCCCGGGCTCCACCAGTGCGGCCTTTGAAACTGCTGGCCTGAGCGGCAGCCGGCAGACGTCAGTGCAGCAACTTCACTTATTAGTTCACACTCAAACGAAGCCACTCTTCACTTATTTGGGGATCGGTGGATAAAAGCGCCAAAGCCAGGTTATGGAACATGTTATTCATTACAAGTTCAAAAATCCTTTCAGGGCTCCGTGAATGTAACGATTGGAAACTGGACGCTTTATTCGAAGACACCCGAGAATCGTGTTTTTTCGATTCTCGCACATCGTATTTTGGTGAACTATTCCTACTATTGTGAACTATTCATCGTAGGGAAACGTTACGAATATAGCTTGCACTAGTGCGTGTGCGGTGCTAAAATGCTAACAAGAACCACCGAGAACAATTCCCACCTCGGTCGGCTATCGATTCGCAAGTCGCATTGTGTGTTCTGTGAGTTGTGTACGCTTTGTAGAGCTTTACCAATGACCATGGCCGGCTGGCTGAGCTGTTCGCCAACGATCGCACCTGCTTGTTCCCGCCAGTGACGCCCAGTGCTGCCAAAATGCTGCCATATCGGTGACGGATCGTTTGCCTGTATCAGCTCACTGTTGTCACAATTGCCCTGCAAACACGCTGGATAAACGGATCTAATCCCCCTCCAGAGGTCACACACTGCCGTGACCCTGCTACCTTTCTTTAGTCACTAACTCGTCACTCTCTTTACGGCAGAACAAAGCCTTGGTGTCCAGCGGAGAGAAGAAGATCCAGGGCATCCCAGAGGAGTAGAGGCCGCTACCTGTCTCCCTGACGTGACCCGGCGATCACCCGACCGTGACCTTTGACCGGGCGGCGGCTCGGTCGGGTCGCTCGGGAGAGGACGGTGGAGGGCCCATGTTGGCCATGTTTGCTGCACAGCTGAGCTGCCACAGCGTCAGATGATTATTTAGCTGTCACTGCGTAAAATGATTTGGCCGACAGTGTGTCATGTGTGTCGGAATTGTTATGTTAGCGATTTAAGATTTTGGAAAGCAAGCACACACAGCACATCAGCTTCGTGTGCCATTGTCTTTAAGAAAGGTTTGTGAAGTACGGTGGAGCTCAGCTCTATTTTCTTAGAGTGCATTTTCAGCAAGGTGGGGCAGGGGAGGAAAAGATCATGGCCACTATATATAATAGTTAATTTCGGTGAGGGATGCGAATCAGGGCAAAGACCAGTTACATGTAGGCAGCCGAGGCCGTGTTTGTGTGAACGGGAGATACCGCGCTCACACAGTCAGTCTCACTCCGTCAGTGGCACATGATGTGACGTCGGTGTCACGTCATGTGACGTCGGCGTCACGTCGTGTGACGTCGGCGTCACATCGTGTGACGCACGACAAACACCGCTCAGTCACCGCAGTAAAGCATACAGCACACAGTCTTGGTCAGTGTTTGTCCGCCCAAATTCTAATTTACACAGCGTTACCTGATTCTGCGTGAATTTAGCAGCTGATTTGTGTCTGTGTGTCTTGGTTCACTAACAGTGAAAAGCCAGCACTGCTTTGATGAGCCGCGTAATAGATTGAAATGAAACGGTTATGTTGAAATGCTCGATATTTGGCTTTTCTTTCGCTGCCAAGTATTTTTGAACAGCCGTGTTGAAATGCTCAATATTTGACTTTTCTTTCGCAACCAAGTATTTTGTTTTGTTTTGATACTTTGACGCTGGTTGTTTAATATGTTGTAGTGAGTTTTTATTGATGTGATAATGTGATATATTATGCTCACTGTTGTGCTTATGCTGATCTCATTTTATCAAATACATGATATATTGTTCAAGCAGCCTGCAACATCATTTCGTGTATAGCCGATCTCATTGTTTTACGTCATTGTTCATATTGTTTTGTACTCTAGGACGCGCTCTCAAGACTACATGAGGGTTCCTACTGTTTACCACGTTCGGCAGGCACCCTCGTTTCTCCCTGCACGTGTCCTGAGTCTGTCACCCTCCCGTCTCACTGGCACCCCCTCCCACCCTTCAGCGCCCATCAGACGCGCCTCCCCCACTTCACTGTCTCGGACCGTGGCGCCGGCCGGCCGTCCCACTGTTTATTATTGTGTCTGACAGCCGCTGGCCGGGTGGTGTGGGGTTGAGCTTCTTATTGCAGCCCAGACCGGCCACCCCAGTGGTGTGGCGAGAACCAGGCGCCATGGACTGCCGTTAAGAGAGCCACTATCAGTCGACCGCTGCAGCTTTGTTTGTGGAATTTGTTTGCAGAAAATGTAATTGCAGGAATAGGACGGCAAGGCTGTCATCTGCTTTTTAGTCGCTTCGTCTGTCTGTAATGTGCAATGCGTCGAATCGTTCATAGATGTCACTAGTGTGGCGTGATGAGCGCCTGCGGAAGCCATCGGCACTCGGCACTCGGCTGATGCAGCTCAGCACCCCCGAACGGTTCGTTTTGGCTGGATCAATAGCCTCATCTCGGCCCGACCTAGCAGCGACCCAGGTGTTATAACGGCCAATTAGTGGAACTGAATCCATTCGGAAGAGTGAGTCAGTACAGGGCCGATGCAGGTCGGCCAGGATCGACCCACCTAGTGTAGCTAGTCGGCAGACAGCAGCGGCCAGCGGGTGGGACTCTACGGACGGATGATGGCTGTAACTGGTGGAGATTCTGGGACAGGAGTTACCTGGTGAGGAGTGGAATAAGTCCTCCGACGACTTACATGGGAGCGATTCCGATCAATGTAGGTAGAGTGCAGTGCTCGAGTGATCCCCTTTCGTCACGGCCAACCGATCGTGACCGCGGCTCGGTGACGTGACGTGGTGTAGAGTGCGAGCGGGGCGACCCCGTCCAGTGACGTCAGCAGAGCGTGACGGTGTGACGACACGCCGTTTACGGGGTGGGGAGGTACCCACCCATCCGCCCCCGCCCCGCACTCGGTCCCCCTCTCCACCCGGCCGGTGGGACGGACGGTAACAACCGACTGCGTCACGCGTCACGCCCACCCTGACGACCTCACTGGATCGTCACGGTTCGGCTCAGCTCTGGACAGAGTCGGTGTGCTCACTGCTCATTGTTCGGCCACTTAAAGGGAGATTATGACCTTTTTCCACAAAATCTGAGTTAGGACCATTTTCTGACAAAACACAACAAGTTATAATGTAAATTAAAACCATTTTGCTCAATTCGGTACCTTGCCGCAAATATCTCAACTTGAAGTCACGTTAGCGGGGAGCGCTGAAAATGACCGTTGAATAAGTACCTACTTACATCACTTTTTGGTACTTGCATGTAATTTTGTAAAATGAGCGTATTCATTACATTTGATCTTCATCACATCTAGTTAGTTAATGGTCGTCTATAGTGCCTTCAAAAGATATTCATGGTTTGGGGGTGGTTTATGTCTAAATTTACGCAACTATTTTTCCTGTTCATCATCTGTCGCCATATGCTGCTATTTTAGTAGCAACGACTCAATTTTGAATCGGTCCCGCCGACTGCAGAATAAAAGAAGATAGATACAACACTTTTGCGGCATCACTGAAAAACTTATGCAGTACTGTTATCAAAATTCTCATAACACCGTTCGACAAACCTGAAGTCTTTTTGAAATAAATACCTATGCTTGTATTTTTCGCTTCAGGCTCTGAGGCCAAAATAATGAATTTCGTAGTCGCAATCGCAAGATTTGGCTGCGTTTCTGGCGCACGTCGTTCATTTGTGGCGCAAAGTAATACTTGGAAACAAAGAAGAGTAGGCACTATGTACCCCCGAATTAGAATCTAATTAATTCTAAACCGAATTAACTCTAATTCAAATTAGAATCCTTACAACCAAGCAACGACAAGGCGATAACATAAACAAAAACCCAAGCGTCGCTGTTTGAAACAAAAGCGCCATATACTGCGACTTTTTATAGAGAAGGACAACGCATTTCGGTGGGTGTTACAAGTACTGCAAGTACTGCTTCTTTTTTGCAAAAATAAAAACCTTTTTCACATACGAAAATGTGCTAGGAAATTTTCGTATTTTATAGAAACTACAGTAGAAATAGTATAGATGTCGAGTAATTTTTATTTAAGAAAAAAGAAAGCTCATTATCTCCCTTTAATGTTCCGTTTGTTTGTTAATTTAATTTGGTCGTTCTACCCTTCGCCACTGCTAAAATCGGAGCGGTGGAAACATAGAAATGGGCAAAATTCATATTTGACAAGTGCTCTGCGGCCTCTGTCACGGCCTAGTCACGGCTATAAAATCATATAAACCGTAGATATTGCGTGCTCTTTCGGCAATCTGATTGGTTGGAGGCCATAATGATATAATCAGCTGACGCAATATTTCATTTTATTTGACCATCCTTGAAGTTGCGAAAAGTTGAAGCTGATATCCGGCTTGTGACGACGTGCGGCGTGCGCGACGAGATTAAAATTGTTATATTTTAGAGTTCCTCGGGTTGTAAGTATTTATGCGTACTTGCATTTTTCATTGAGTCCTGGGCTACTCCAGAAGTGCAATAAATACCGGCCGTGCAGACTGGAGAACGAGTTCGACATTTTAATTTTACCCAGTTTGAGTTGCTGTCGAAATCATCGGAAAGGTAGGTGAATGTTTTTATCTGTCTTGTCCCCCGACAGAATGACTGTTTTCGTGTGCATGCATGCTGTTCCAGACATAATTCATCTGAACCGCCCCGGCATGGAGGTTTGACGAACAGTTTCAGGACAATCCCTTGCTGTCCCTTGCTCATTGCTGCCCATTCCGCGGTGCCAGCTTTGAGCCTGCTGCTTGACCCTGACCTTGACCAGCCATCTACTACCTAGCCACTGGGTAGTAGATGGCAATTGGCAGTGACTGTGGTTGCTGCCAGCGGTTAGTGGTAATTATTGGATTCCCGAAGTGCAACGCCAATGCATGGCGTGAGCGTGCCGCGTAAGGTTGAGTTGCCGGCAGCGGGGTGATGACCTTACGGTCGGTGCCTCAGGGCCGGAAGTCGCCATCCTATCAACATCCGACCGTTCCGTGCAGTTTCCGGTGGGGCCACGCGACCGCGCTGAATAGTGTGGTGGCTGTGGAGGGACCCGTTATTAGGTACTGAGAACCTGAGGAGCGCGGAAACCCATTTCATTTGAAACGCCGATATTTGAATATCGGCCAGGCCAGGGACGCCAGATCGTTGTTCTATGCTGCCAGCTTACAAGCATTGCCTTTGGTCCTTCCAGTCTCAGTTTGACCTTGGGTCTGTTCCAGTCGCACTTCCAAAACCTCTAAAACTCCTCAAAGATTGCTTCCCTGGCAGCTCTAGCCCCTACAAAGCAAGGAGGGCTCTGCTCTAGACTTCTATTTTGCTCTTGGAGGAGTTTAGAGGTGTTAGGGAGTGCGACTGGAACAGACTCTATGTTATCCAGTTCTCCCCAAGGCTCTATAGGTCTCCCCCAGTCTCTCGTTTGACTAACTGGCATGCTCCACTGCAGCAGGGCCGGCGGCGGGTCAGAGCCCAGAGTGAGAGGGCAGCGCGGCGCGGTGACTCGTGCGGGGGAACTCTGTCGCCGGTCGGGTCGCCTCGGTGACGGTTGTCAGATAGTGCCGCCAGCTGACACGAGCCAGGGCTGCCGTTGCCCCAGCTCAGCGCAGTCCCCTTCCCACCCCATGTGACCGTGCGTCGCTTCGCCAGCAATTACAAGTTAACCCAGATCACCGATTTATAGCATTTACAGTCATTAGGGGTGTTTCGGTCGGGTCCGTTTGATACCGTGTCGAGTTTGGCGTCTCCGGCGATAGTTTATCGATGGTGACGGGCGGCAGATGCTGCTCGCAGTGGGTTTTGGAGCTGTTCAGATACGACTGGCGCCAGCGATTCCGTGTCGCACGTCGCAAACACGCTTCAGAACTTGAATCGCTGCATACAGTGATTGAGTTGCCACACTGCGCCGCTCTGGTGTAATGTTCATTGTACTGTACCTACACCGTTCAGTGTTCACTCATTTCGGGCTGATGGGTGCATCGTTGCAGGGAGAGCTAGCTAAATGATAAACTAAGTTACAATAAGATCCCAACTTTATTCTCTCGGTCACCATGCACTCTGCCCCGGCCACAGGTCAGGGTCGACAGTCGACTGGTGCTCGTCGTGGCGCAGTGAATTCACGGTATCGGTATTCCGACTAACGAGGCCCGCATTCCATCAACTGGAGCGTCAGAGGCCAATTTGCCGGGTCAATTTGCGTGTGCTCAGCGGCGCGGCAGCGCTCGCCGCTGTTGTTCGTTGTCGCTGAAGCGAAAGCGAACCAGTGCCAAGGTCGGTTCGGAGGGCGGTGCTGGCGGGGACGCGGCGGGGCTGGGCGGGCGCGGCGGTCCGGTCTTCCGCCGGATGTCAGCTGCTCAGTGGGGTAGATATGTCGCTCTACCGGACTGGGCAGTGGGCATGGAGGGTCGTCGTATCTGGACGGAGGCATGGGATGGACCCGCTGCTAGGGCTGAGATGACTGACCTGAGCAGAGAGCACTGCGACAGACTCGGTGTCAACTGCCGACCATGCTGCTCTGCCGTACCCCTAGGTGTCATTGAGTGACGATTAGCGCTCACTTTTGGGCGACAGCGCAGTGTGCAAGCCCATAGGTTTGAAATTGGCATCAGTAGGTATTGTTTTCAGTAACAAATTGCTTAATTTCCTGTTTTGTATTCTCGAAACAGTTGGCTTTGAACCTATGAAATGCAGGTATACAAAAATCATAACTCACGATGCGTTTCACCTTCGTCACCGGCTGCTCTATGTTAACCGGATGCCGCTGTAAGCTACAGATGTAACTGACCGGCGTATACCATGTTCGGTGTATAATCGGGCTGAATCAGTGGTCGCCCACCGCACTGGCGAGGGACAGGAAGTACACTCCTTCCTGCCGCCGGGGCTGGTCAC